TCATTTCTAATCGCGCTCCTTTCGGATTTTGTTCGTTTCTATTTTTTCCTGGCCCCCCAGTGGCCAGGAAGAGGCCCAGGATAGAACAATTACAAATGAAAGGATCTTGGCCCCCCACAGAATCAAATAATTTTCGAAGAATTAGTGTGATTTGTTTTCGCCGGCGGCGAGGGAGAGGCAAACCGCGGGCTCTGCCAGGGCCCATAGACGGTGACGCTCCAGCAGATCCGGCACTGGAGCCCAAGGACTGCCATCGGCAAAAAGCTGAATCCACCAGGTGCGCGACATCCCACGATACAGGCCACCCGGGCAATTTCACCTGGGCAAATTCGCCCGTGCGAGTAACGCCCGAAAGAGGATGGAAAAACACTGCACGGAACAGCACTGGATACATGGAGCAAGAACACCAAGCACCCCAGGCATACCAGACATTCAAGCAACCCCAAACACTCCACCAGCAGCACCAGACACAACATGCACCACAAACACCCCAACACCCGAGGTACACCCCAACCACCACGAGCACCAACAGGCAAAACCGGACACCCCGCGCACCCCAGAAAACCCCGAGCACCAAGGCACCAGGGACACCCCATGAACCCCAAACAACCTCACGAACCCCCAAGCAACACAAGCATCCGCAGACACCACCAGAAACACCCGACGCATTGACACCACAGACTCCCCAGGCTTGAGTCAATCGAGGACGTCCACTCGACGAACTTCTCCCATATCATTCCAACATCTGGCGGTTCCTGGCCTTTTTGATGGTTCAACGACGTCCTCGAAGGAACAAACAAGAGCCTAGTTAGGGCCTCCAGATGCCACCAAGACGGCCTAAAACAGCTCCAAGAGGCCTGCGCACACTTTCAGATGTGTGTGTGGGGGGAGCTGGACAGAAGTTGGTGGTGGCGACCCTTATGCTTCATCCTTCTCCTCCTCGTTGCCCACGCTCGGATAAAGGGACCATCTACATCATGGATTTTCCCAAAAATTGATGTCGTCTCGTCGGATCCATGGAAGGTAAATCTACGAACGCTCTACGCATTCGTCTGTAGATTCGACGTTGACAGTAAATCGATCCCTGCTCCGAGTTTCTTAATAAGGGCCGGATGGCGTCAACCCCCTCGACAGCCCCACATCGACCCCGTCGCGGACAGCCACCGCGCGCCGAACGCGCTCTGACTCCCGTCGCGGCGCGACGACGAGGCGAGGTGGACCCCGTCGGGGGGGTACCCCTCCACGCTCATTAAGAGCCCAGAGTATATAATGTGGAACCAATCCCTACTCAAAACGTCCTGGACACCAGGAGGGCCCAGAGTCGAATCGATAAGTCGGATCGGCGATCGAAATGAATCGGATCGGCAGACGTCGGCAGCCAAGTCGGGAGAAGTCGAAACGGCAGAAATCGGCATGCCAATCTGCCTCCACTGAGGACTCGGCATCCAAATCGGAATCCGAAGTCGAATCGAATCGAAATCGGAGGCCATCGAGATCGAAACGAATCGAATCGAAATGCGCCCTGTGGAACCCCTCCTCTTCCTCGCTCGCCTGCCTGCCATGGCTCGACGCTGCAGGGGGGAGCATGGCCCGGCTGCCCACGCCTTCCAGACGTGAACGGGGGCGCGGGGGGTGGCCGCGCCGCCCACCGCCGCCCGGCTCCACTCGGGGGCGGCCGAGGAGGGGGGCGTCCAAGAAGGGGGGGCGGAAATCGTGGCCAGCGGCATGTGCGCGGCCCAGGGGGGGGGCAGGGACGTAACGAAATACATGAAGAGGCGCCACGAAATCTGAGGAAACATCATGGCCCCCGCCATGATATCGCCCCCCCCTAAGTCGTCACCCCCCTCTTTGCCGCCCCCGATCCACGGTGCTTGGGGTCAGGTCGCCGATGAGGCCCGGGAGACGGGAGACGTTCGAAGGCAACTATACTGGGAGGTCTTCGTCGGAAGGGTTCAAGAGGATTGAGCCACAATTGGGGGGCTGTTACGCCGAAATGGGCCTCGGATTCAGCGGGTTTAAGCCGCATCAAACGAGATTAAGCGGGAGTCAAGCGGATTAAGCGGGAAGAAGCGGGAATAAGCCAGACGAAGCGAGATTGAGCGGGACTCAGCCGGATCAAGCGGGACGAAGCCGGATTTCGGACCAGGGCAGGATCAGAACCTGACCTCCCAGGACCTGCATCCGAAGAGGCGGAGGGCACGGGGCAACCCTGCCCCTCCTCCGCCTCCCTTCCCTCCTGCGCCTCGCCGCCTCGAGGAGGAGGAGGAGCACCCGCAGGCGCCGCGCACACAACACGTGACGGCGGGCGCTGCCTGTCCTGTCCCTGAAGCACAGAGGGCCCGACGAGGGAAGCGGGTCTTGCACCCCCTGGGCCTTTCGGGGGCGGCCAGGAGGGGGGCGCCCTAGAGGGGGGGAGGTGGCGAGGGGGGTGGGGGGAGCGGGGGCGCATTGAAATGAGCAACGGCGCCACAAGCTCTGGGGAGATACCATGGCCCCCACCATGACATCCACCCTCCTAAGGCCCCTTAGTCACCCCTCCCCCCTGCTGGCCGCCCGCGAGCCTTACAAAGACCCGCGGCGCTGAATCCCGGGACCAACATCTCCTCTCGAAGAATTCCTGGTATCATGCGAACGCGCGGTGAGGATGTAAGGGCCTTGGAAGGCAATGTCGACGCTCTGCGAGCGGGGCGCGGCCAGCGAAAGCGGCCAAGGATGGGCCGAGGGGGAAGGATGCCAGGGTAGCCATGGAGAGTTGCTCATCCTTAATATGTGGGTTGACTGTGGCCTCCAACGTGCGCGCAAGAATACTCAGGACCGCACCCATACGCCACCAAGTGCCCCCTGACTGAGCCTCCCAATGGAGCCACCAGAAGGCCCAAATTCCTCAGAACCAATGCGTTCTCAATGTGTTTTGCGTTCTCGCCATTCTCGCAAGGGTTCCCTTGGAAAGATTGCCCACCCTTACTATGCGGGTTGACTGCAGCTGACCCGGGTCAACGCAAGCCTGGGCCAATCAGGCTTCACAGGATCCTGCTAGATCTTGCAGGCTCCTGCACCCAAGCCCAGGTTAATTAGAGGCCTCCTATATGGGGTCCGCTTAGATTGGGTCGGAGGATCGTGCCGCATCGCCAACGTATCGGCGATGCATCGCCGACATATCGGCGACGTCGGCGATGCATCGGCGGCGCCGGCACGGAGAGAACCAGGCTCCACACGGAGCCGCATCGCAGATGCATCGGCGATGCGGCGCCGCGACCCTCCGACCCCATCTGCTCCGACCCCATCTGGGAGGCCCAGATCAGTGCACCCCTGGCTCTGCAGGCTTCTGCAAGATCCAGCGCTATGGCTGACCCCCGTTTGCATCGGCCCCCGTCTCTGAAGGGGCCCTGGGACACACAAATAAGTAGACACAAATAACAGGACTCCCCATGTTCTGTCTCCCCCCCCCACTTCTCCCACAGCTTCGCATACCTTCTGGGGGATCGACGATCCCTTGTGTCTCTGTGTTTTTGTCCCCTCCCTCTGTATCTCCTGCGCCCCGCGGTGCGGGGCCCGCCGTCGCCGCCGGCGATCTCCACCCACTCGACCGCCTCCGCGCCCGCAGCGGCGCCGCCCGGCGGCGCGGGCGGCGGAGCCGCCGCCTGAGGCCGCAGGGGCGGGGCTCGGAACCGCCAGGGGGGGAAAGCTCCCGCGGGGGGCTCCCCGCCGGCCATCGTTGGCGAAGTTTTTTTTTTTTTGTTAAGCTTGCCACAGTCCTCAGTGCGAGAGCAGTGCGTGTTGCAACTTCCCGCCGCCGCCACACGCGCTGATCCCAGCGCTGTAGCTGAGGACGTCTGGCTCAAACTGCCCCTCGCATCTCGCTGAGGAGCGACGGAGCCTGCACCCACTACCTGGCCTTCCCACCAGCGCTGATCTCGGCATTGTAGCTGAAAGCGTCTGGCTGCAGCGTCGCCTACCACATCTCGCTGAGCAGCGACAGTGCCTGCTGCCACTGGCCGCCTCCCCCGCACGCGTTGCAGCAAAGTTGTAACCGATGGCGTCACACACTCGCGGCTCCAACTTCGCGGCACAAACTCGCCGACCGGGACAGCCTGCTGCCATTGTCCGCCTTTCACGCACACTCTGATCCCACTGCTGTAACTGACCACGTTGGGCTCCGATGCCGGCTGCCACATATTGCTGAGCAGCGGCAGGGCCTGCTGTCAGTGTCCACCCTTCTCGCAGGCGCTGGCCCCAGCGCTGCCAATGATGACGGCGGGCTCCAACTGAGCTTCCCACCTGCCGGCGGGTAGCTCCAGAGCGTGCTGCCATCCCCCGTCTTCCGGACACTCCTGACTCCAGCGATGTAGCAGACAACTTGGCGCTCCACATCCTCTTCCTGGGTAGTCGAAGCCAATCTGGCGCCAGTCTGGCAGGCCCAATCTGGCAAACGGGGGCAATCTGGCGAGGGAGCCAGCGCGAATCCAGTCTGGCGAATCACCCAAATCGTCCAGCTTGGCCAGGCCAGATTGACCCTTGGGGCCCAATCCAATCTGACAGTCTGGCCTTCGACTACCCAGTCTTCTGACATCCCACTGAGCAGCGACAGTGCGAGCTGCCGTCGCTGTAGCTCACAACGTCCAGCTCGCACCCGAGCCGCCCGAGGCCCCGCGGCCGCCCGGCGCACCCGCGCGAGGGCGGCCGCCGAGGCTCGCGCTCGCCGCGGGCACGCTGCAGCTGCTCCGCGCCGTCTCCCGGGCGGCCCGCTGCCGAGGGGCGCGGCGGGGAGCCCTCCTCCTGCTGCTCCTTCAAGTCCCCTGCGCGCGTGCGCGAGCCGCTGCTTCATCTGCCCGTCTTTTTGCGACCCTTATTTCTTTCCGCCGCCTGGCGATCTCCTCCATGCTCTCGCCGCCACTTTTCCTTTGCTGCCGGGAGCCATTCTTGATCGGCTCCCTCGCGACCCTCGGGCTGCCCGGTGCCGCTTGCGCAGCGCTCCCAGCATGTTCTGTGCGCGGCCTGGTTGTCTCGTGTGAGCTTCTCTGCTTGCCGCCCCCCTTTCTCCGCCTGGAGCCTGCCTTCTGCCCCGCTGCCCTCTGGATGCCCGCTTCTATCTCCGCGGCGCTCTCTTCCTGCGTAGGGATGTGCTCGCTGCCCACTGCTGTTCGCTCGTCGCCCTCTTTCTGGGTGGGAGCCCTCTGGATGCCCCCTGCTGTCTGAGCGGCACCCTCCTCGTGCTGCGTGGGAGCCCTCTGGATGCCCACCGCTGTCTGCGCGGCACCCTCCTGCGTGGGAGCCCTTTGGATGCCCACTGCTGTCTGCGCGGCGGCCTTCCTCCTTTTATCATTTGTCTTCCTCTTCGTCTTGTTCGTCATCCTGACTGTGCGATTGACTGTCCCCTCCCACCAATGCTTCATTGTGAGTCTGGCGATCACCTTCGCCACAAGCTCGGGATCTTCATACTGGGGCGCCAGATAATCCCGCCAGCGCTGCAGCTTCTCGACGGAGATGGACGCTGGCTCCCAATCACGCACAAACGCCACAGGGAGCTGACAGTAGACCGTGTCCAGACCAGGCGTACTCTGCACGATTGGGATAGTGCCAGAGGCGATGGCCATGAAAGTCCTTGGGCTGGGGTCAAGGCCACCGCCGTGAGGGCAAAGGACGAAAGAGTGATTCTGCCACCAAGCAGCAAACTGATTGCTTAACATCTCGCCTCGAAACTCAGAGAAGTCTCCCCATGAGCCGCCTGGTCTGCAGTTGTTGAGCGCGTTGACCCTGTCGGTGAACTGGCCCGTGGCCTCTTCGTCATGACGCCTGCCATTGCAGCTCACAGTGAGCGGCCTTTGCGACAGAGGCACAAGCCATCCAGCCTTGATTACCGACCACCACTCCTGACTGCAATCCTGATTAGCTTGTCCTGCAATCTCGCAGTTGGGCGTGTATAATCCAGTCGGAATCCCAGCAAGCTTATCGTGGAATGTAGAATCGTCGAAATTCTCTGTCACCCACCGCTCGATCAGACGATCATCCAACAACCTGGCAAAACTCCGCAACATTACACCAGTGATATTCCCAAATCGGCGGTCACGCTGACGTGGAATTGTCCTGTCTTGCGACGTGGTGAGGACCACGACCGGCTTATCGATGTAGGGAAACACATCGTTCTTGAGTAAGCGGATCATCTTTCTCAAGTCGAACCTCAAGTCCAAGAAAACAGTCCTCGGGGGCGAGCGGACCTTCACGAATTGCAGGGGGAAGCGCGGGCCAGCCATGTTCTCTATAAACAGCCAGTCGCACATAGCGCCTATGGAGACCAACGGCTTGTGCGGAAAAGCCGACGTGTCTTGAAACGATAGCCTCGCGTGAAGCAATTGCGGCTCTGGTTTAGGATACATCTCTTCAAGCCACGCCTGCACATGTCGGCGCGGTATGGGATTCGTGATCGGGCTGGTGACTGCCGCAGCCGACCTCGTACACCTGATCGTTAAATTCATACCCCATCCACCCACAGCGTCGTCGGTACGTTTCACGCAAACTCAACTGCCATACGCCACCACATGGAATGTCTCTGTCGACCCGGAGAAATCTCTGTTGAGCCTTGATCCGTGCTGGGCAGCCTCAACGTCACAACTGATTGATGAAGTAGCGTTTACACATATGTGGTTCTCCCAGCTTGATCCGATGTTGACGACGACTTGGTCGGATGCCATGTCACTGGTGCTGGTCGTGACTGCTACTGCGGTAGATGCCGCTGAGATCTGCTCCACTCCGTGCGCCACCCTCCACCCGTCGTTCACGATAGCATCGTTGGAAACAGCGATCAAGACCACGCCCACGACGGACAGAAGAGCCACGCACTTTGGCCCGCCCGTTGCCCATGTCCGATCCAGCATGATCTCCGCGCCACACGGGAAGGAAGTGCTTGAGCCAGAGGCTTGAGCCAAAATGGCTACGGATCGTTGGCGAAGTTGTTTGAGTTATCTGTTCTTTCCCAGCCTATCCCATCCGCGAGTGTTTATCGCGCCCCCGTGAAAGAAATTTGCCGGCCCCTCAGAAACAACATCGCTTTGCGATGCGTCTCGCCTCCTTGCCAGCCCGCCCAGAAGCGGCCCACGGGCGAACTGCCGCGAGAAGGGCTGATGTCGAGGGCGCGTCGCGTCGAAGGAAAGGGGTCTTGCGGGAAACGTGCCCCAGGGCTGGACCTGACCAGTGCTTCGGCGATTTCGTGGGCCGTTTCCGTTTCGACTTCCCTCTGCGGTAGAGATGGACTGAAGACAAAACGAGGGAAAACGAAAACAGGACGAAAACGAAGAACACTGTTTAGGCTCAGCCCTGGTGGGCCCAAGATGGCCTCCAGGAGCGCCCAAGAAAACGCATGGTGGTTCAAGATGCAGTCAGCCCGTGCATGAAGGACGCGCCACAAAGATGCAAGGGCCTTAGAAGGCCATGTCGACGCTCTGCGAGCGGGGCGCGGCCACCGAAAGCGGCCAAGGATGGGACAGGGGGGAAGGATGCCAGGGTAGCCATGGAGAGTTGTTCATCCTTGCTATGCGGGTTGACTGTGGCCTCCAACGTGCGCGCAACAATCCTCAGGACCGCCCGCAAACGCCCACACGCGCCCCCCGACTGAGCCTCCCAAGGGGGCCCCCATGAGGCCGAAATCTTTCAGAACAAATGCGTGTTCAATGTGTGTTGCGTTCTCGCCGTTTTGGCCCCCGGTGGGCTACTGGGACCCGCAAGTGTCTCCAAGATGGCCCCCCAGGAGGGGACCCAGAGAAACCCCAGACAGCCCCAAGAGCGCCCATCAGCGCCCCCGGACCGCCCCACGAGGGCCCCCAGAAGCTCGCTCTCGAGCCTCGCTGGGAAGCCCACGCTGACGCTGGCCTCTCCGCGCGCCCGTGGCGGGGACCTCCCCGGCCTCCGCGCGTGCCCCAGCGGGCCCCCAGGGAGAGGCGCAGGGAGGACCCGGAGGTCTTCGAGCTGGCCGAGCGAGGGCCGCACGCTGGCCCGGGGAGACGACCCGCGAATGTCCAGGCGGGCTGGCTCGTGTCGTCGTCGTCGTCGCCGTCGCCGCCGCCGCCGTCAACGTCAACGTGCTCGTCGTCGTCCCCGTCGTCGCCTCGCGCTTCCGTCGGCTGCCTCGCTTGAACGGCTGCCCGCCGTCGTCCCCTGCGTGCCGGACGTCGGGTGCGCGCGTCGTCGGCGGCCGCGCGCCCCGAGCAGCGCACGCACGGCGAAAACCGACGGGCGACGAAGCTGCCACGCAAGACGGGGCCCGCGCTCCCGGGCAAAACCTGCAAGAAATCTTGCTGCTGCGCGCTTCGAAGGAGCCCGTGTGCCGCGGCACCAAGAAGGCGACGAAGGGGAAACGTAACACGGAACATGGACGACAACGATGGGGACGAGAGGCGGCGTGAGGAACACAAAGGGCGCGGCACCACGGGCAAGGCGATTCTCATCACGGGGGGAACAGGTGGAGGGCGAGGAGACATGACGCGCCGCCGCTGGCGCCGAACACGACTCTGTCACATCACCCGTGACAAAGCCACCGTGCTGTGTAGCGCCACCCTCGTGGTCGCAAACTGCACCATTCGCTGCGGGCAATCATGTCGCAGCCGGGCGCTCCGTGCATGGGTGCGACGCGCGTGGGGAAGCGCGTGGGGGCGCTGATTCGCGCGGTGGCGACGCCGTGCCTGCGAGTCTCCCGGCCCCTTTCGTTCAGATTGCCGTGCGGACGCTGGACGTCCGCAGGCGAACCGCCAGGTCCGCGGGCGGCCCTCGAGAGTCGCAGATCAGGGACGTTGGCCGACGTCGTGGCCCTGGAATGCATGCCGTACGGGTGCATCCAGATGCCTTCCATGTCGACGGCGCCTGTGTAGCTGCCATAGACAACGACGTCGTGGCGACGAGGCAGCGTACGCGAAAGCGGCGACACTTGCGCAGTTGGCAGTGACCAGGAAGTGCGATGTCCTGCCTGGGCTGAGCACCGAAGAGAGCAACAACGTGCCCGCGTCTGCTGGAACCTCCCAGGGCACAGAAACAGCACTACAGTTGCACACTGGGCAGCACCGATGGGGCAAAGTCCCGCTCGGGTGTGCGCGGCCCCGCGCTCCGCTGGACCCCTGAGGAGAGCATCAACATTGGAGACCAACAAGCACCGATAGCGCTACTCCTGGGACCTCTCCCTGGGTGCGCTATGACCAGGATTTCGTGGCGAATCCAGCGGTGGCGACGAGGGCCTGCAAGGAGGCCGCACAAGGGGAAAGCGTGCGAAGTGGTCAAGGTATGGGCGCTTCTTCCTTCTCTGAGAAGTGGCGGCGGTGGCACAGCGCACCCCACGGAGAGCGAGGTCCCGCCCGGGTCCCGGCACTCCGATGGAGCCCACCCCGCCCGTCCCACGAGAGCCGGGGCAGCTGCGCAGCTCGCGGCGCCCTCGGAGGGCCAGGGGCCCGCTCGGCGCTGCGCAGCTCCACACCCACCTCCGCAGGACGTCCCCCGCGAGCTCACGGCAGTGGCGACGGCTGCGCAGCTGAGCCTGGCGTCGCCCAGGGAGGGCGAGGAAGAGGAAACCATGACGCAGCGAGAAACAGCGACGATGCGGCAGAGGCAGCGCCGAGGGGGAGGGATGAGGCGAGATGAGGATGAACAAGAACAACGCACTTGCGATCGAATGCGTCGGACCCAGGCCACAAGAACATCCTTCAAAAGCATGAGACCCTTCGCCGGCCAAAACACACAGAGCATCCTAAAGTACCCCCCCAGAATGCACAAACACATCCAACCGTCACGAAGAGCATTAGGGTACCATCCCCAAACCGAGCTTGATCTTACAACTCGGTCCGACTGCACACGCGAAGGGACTGATCGTGTCAGATCTGTGCCGCTCACACATAAAAATAAGAAGAAGGAACGAAGGAAGAGAAAGACGACTAAAAGAAAATGATCAGCCGCGCCCTATGCAAACCGACTATCCAAGCCAACATGGTATGTACAAAGGCGGCAATGGTCGATGTTGGGCAGGCGACGTTGCTGTAAATGGGAGCCGTCCGCGGCGATCCCTACGGAGAGCCATATTCATGATGGGGAAGGGCTGCTGTTGGTCTCCACCTCCTCTGCTTTCCGTACCCGCTTCGGTCGTGCAGACCTTGCCCCACACTCCCGTTGGGGCCACCTCATCGAGCCTCGATCCTCCTCGATCCTCGATGCATCGATCCCTCGATCCTCGATCCCCTCAAGCCCTCGACCTCGATCCCCGATCTCTTCATCGATCCCTCGATCTCCTCAAGCCCTCGACCTCTTCCTCGATCCTCGATCCCCTTAGACCCTCGACCTCAAGATCCTCGATCCCTCGATCTCCTCTTCGATCTTCCTCGACCGTCCTCGAACCTCCTCCCGAGGAGTGCGCGTGAAGCCGCCCAGACCTCCGTCGTCGTGTTTGTTTTGTTTTAGCAGACGCCTCGACCCTTTCACGGGGGGACTGTCCTCCCGTCCGGAAACGCTGTTCTTCGATCCGCAAAACTGGCGCGGACCCCCAGTCGATAGGAGATCGACAACAGAGCTAAGTTACCCCAAACTCTAAATATTCGACGAATCTACCAAGAATGCTGAGAAGGTTCGCGATCTACGAACATCCCACGCATTATTCGCAGATGCGACGGGAAGAACAAACAATCTGGTACATCTATTCTGCCATCGGTACCCCACTCGGGTCCTGGACCCTGACGAGGGCCCTCAGAAGCAGAAATACATAAAGCCTGGCGTCGCGATTCCTCAACTATCCGACACCTTTGTTTACTCAAGGCGGGGTCTCCGGAAGTTCTGCTTTCCCAGGGGCCAGCGTTTCATCTCAAATAGTTGTTTGGTCCAGGGGCGGGGAAGCGGTCCCCAGAGGCCGAAACCACAAAACAACTAAGCAACACGTTCTGCTTTTGTTCACGACCCTGGCTGTGCGTCAGAACGACGAGAGTAAAATGTATGGGCGCCCGGATCCCCTCGTGAATAGCAGGGCTGGCGGCGCGCAGAGAGGGGGTAGGGTGGAAGGCTTCTTAGAAGTGTGTTTCTTAGAAGGCGCGGGCCTTACATCTAAAGACAAGGCCCGCACATTCTGAGAACCAGGGGTGTTTTGTAAGAAGCCTCCCCCCCCTCCCCCATACCCCCAATTGCGCGTGGCTGACACCCGTGAAAAGCAAGGGGTTTCTGACAAGGAACCGGGCTTCTGATAAGGCCTGTGAAGATTCAGGGGGGCCTCTCTGAGGCCCCGGCCTACTTAAAAGATCCCGCCGATTTTTTGAAAGCCGCCCCCCTCGCGGCACTCTCAGTGCGGTGCCCGTTCCATGGGCGCCTACTACGTAGACCCTGACGTTGTCCGACTTTGCCATGATTTGGGGGCCAGATGTTGAACACATGTGGGAACGAATTTGGACCGGACTCGCCGGTTGCATGATGGAGACGAGAAGAAAGAGGAGGAGAAGGAGGAGGAGGAGGAGGAGGAGGAGGAAAAAAAGGAAGAGGAGGACAAATGCGAACCCAAGACTCATCAACGATATTGCAAAACCCTCCCTCCAAATTCCCTCTTCATAAGCCCTTACAACATTTCATTTTCACAACGGGAACTGAACCGTTGGAAGACAACCGCGTGAAAATCCGGAACTGCGCCATAACAACATTCCTGGCGATTCAACGCCGCGAAATACAATTACAATACGGTTGCGCCTTGACGGTCCTGACGCGAATCTTCCCGAGACTTCGATACAGCGAATCAGCGTGACTGTTGCGCCCTGACATTTCCGACATAGTTCCCATTTTCCTGGGACGTTAGCCATGCGAATCCTTGACACTGCTGCGAGATCTTTTGGCGATTGTGCGCGGTGCTACAGCGAGAACCACAATTTGAATCCGTTTAGACGCATGCGCGTGGCGCTGGGACGGGAACCACAGATTGGAAGCGATCCGCCCTCAATCCGCGAAACCATTGTAAATCTTAACGGCCAAGATGGGAAATGGTGAGGGAGCCTCCGGCGAATCGCCTGGATAGCCCTTCCGACCAGCCCCAGGGTGCGACCTGGAGGAGCTATCTATGAGGAAGGAAGAACTTCTCCTGTAGGCGACTGCTCAGGCAAGCTTCCGCAGGAGGTTGATAGGCAGGCATGGAAACTGTGTAGAACTGCGTGGAGCCACTGACAAAAATGAAAGTCCAGCAATCGCTCATATAGAAGCCCAGAATAGACATCACTTCTGCTGAATCGCCAGGCCCTGCACACTAGGCAGGAAAGCAACATTCGAATTCGCACCAGCTGCCATCAGCCGAGAAGCCAGAGCCAAGGCTGGGGCCCTCAGCGACGGCTGCCCTTGCAATTCCGAAAGCACGGCATCGCCATCAGGAAAACGACAAAACAATTGAACATCCATGCCCTCCAACTCTTTCGTATCTTGTGTAGCACCAGACTGCGCGCCCGTGGTAAGGCCGCCATTAGCAGCCCTTAGAAAAGAGGCAATCGTGCAAACAAGAGCACCGGCAACATCCGGCTGCTCCTCAAAGACGGGCTTGATCACATGCGAAGCCTCCTTATGATGTTTCTTCTTGCGCCGGTTGTTCTTCTTTGACTTCGGGGCAGCGTCCGTCGCGCCAGCTGCCGCTGAGGGTAACGAGGAAGACGAGGAACCCACATCACACGCGGTATGAACACAGCCAGTGTGGGCTGACGTGTCAGAAACACCGCCGCTGCGGGCTGACGTGCCATGGCCAAAGGAAGAGACATCGCCACTAAGGGCTGGCATGTCACAGGGCTCAACACCGATATGCGCCTCCAGGGCACAGCCACTATCAGCTGACATGCCACAGCCTTCCTGCGAAACACCGCCACTAAAGGCTGACATGTCGGGGGCTACACCTTCGACGCCAGCATCAGGAAAATCCCCGTCGCCAATGTAGAAGGTCAGCACTTCCGAGATGGCGTCCGTGGGATTCGCGATCCTGCCGGCGGAGTCGGAGGCGCCAGCGGTGTAACCGGGACAGGCGGCTGAAGGGGGCCACCAACCCATCGCCATAGCAGCGACAAACGCCATGTCCAGCTCCTGGCCAGCCGGCAACTCCGCCTTCAAGCGCTTGAGGATGCTCTTGTAATCGTTCAGCATGTGCTTGCGGCGCATCTTCTTGGGCGGCGTTGGGGTAGAAGTGCTCGTAGAAGCGCCATGCGCGACCGAAGAACCCAGCGTGTCCTCCTCCATGGCCTTGGGAACCAAGGACGGCTCCTCCGTAGCAGTCTGGATGGGAGACGAGCGGGAAACCCCCAGCCGGGGGGAGAAGGGCGAGATTATCAGAGCCTCCACCTGCGGCATTACCTGGTTGTCGAACTGCTCCTTCGCTGTTTGCTGCGCCTCCACTGCAAGGCGGCAGCGCTCCCAGCGCGGAAGCAACTTCACTGGCGCCGACGCGTCCTGCTCCTGCGCCGCGGGGTGCCTGCAGCCATGTGCCAGGGGCGGCGGCGGCGGCGGGTGGCTGAACTGGCGCTGCAAGTCCGCCATCGAGAAGAAAAACCTCGAGCGAGCCGAATGACTCAGCAAAGGCTGAGACGCGCGCCCCGAGGTCGCCGTTGACCAGGTGCACTGGCACGAAGAGGCGCATCTCGGGACCCTTTGATACCATGCACCGGTATCCCCCAACGCTCACTGCCGCACACCAAACGGAAGCGCTCAAGCCAGCAGCACAATGGCCATCGGCCCTGGGGAAACGCGAGCCGTCAAGGATCCTGAAAAGGCTCGAGCCCGAGCTTGAGTCTTGAGCCAAAATGGCTTGAGCCACAATGACTTGAGTCAAAACGGCTACGGATAAGGGAGGAGGGATGGAAGGGGCGAGGAGGAGAAGGATGATTCGCCAAATGCAATCCACATGCAGGAAGAGTTGATTCCAATGTTACGGCCCAAGGCTCCCATGAGCAACATGCAGGAAAAACGGGTGTCCATGTCACTGTCACCGCGCCTCGATTGCTTCGAGGCGCCAAATGTATGAGTTGTGCGCGGAACACCTGAGCCGCTCTCGCCTTCCCTTGGTCGGGTCGCTTCCGAAGACACCCGAGGTCGTGTTCTTTGCAGCATGGCCCCAAAAGCCTGTACCTCCTCCCCGGGGACCAACTGTTCATCGAGAGTCGTGTCTGGACGCCCTGGGAACTTGGCGGAGCCCCCCTCCCAAACAGAACACAGGTCAAGACCTCCTGTCGTCACTTGCCGCGACGCAAGGACGCCATTGCGAACCTCAGGGCCCGCTAAGACGAGGACTTTGACAAACAATACGGTGATGGCATTAGATGGTGAAGGAAACCTTGCATAAGGAATCCAGGATCTGGAGGCCAGTGGAAGCCCAATCGTGGATTGGTCATGGATGACACCGCTGCCCTCATCAGATGAGGAGTCCTCCAGGGTCTGAAGCCGCTTGGGCACATCCCCTAACGAACGCTGCCACCGTTTTAATGTTTGCTGCGTCGCCGGCTGGGCAGAGGTTCCTGCTCCGGCGATCGCGCATCAGTGGGGCGCGCTGAATGCAAGTTTGGGCCGCAGTGCGCGGGAGGAGAGGAGGAGACCCCGGCGCAGCGGAAAGAGAGGAAACCGCCGTACGCGTGTGCCACATGTCGACCTCCCAGCAGGTGCCCCAAGCGGCCCGGGAGTAGGGGGGGCAGACAGAGAGTCGTGGGAGAGGCGAGCGCAGCCCACTTCTGGCGGAGTTGCCCAGGCTCAGGTCGCGCGTGTCCTCCTGCAGGCGGATCTTGTAGGAAACATGCAACATAGTTAAAACAGATGCTCCAATCTGGTCAAGCATAGTTGAACCAAATATTCCACAATGGTCAACAGCAGTCGAAAACCGTCCCCTGACAATGATTAAACTGTTTTTGAATATCCCTCCTGTAGAGGGACACGCCCGACTTCACACTTGGGGCATGTGCAACCCACTTACAAACTAGTTTCATGCAGGCATTACCCACCTTCGCAGCAACATGCGATCCCTCTATATCCTTAGCAGACCCCGCGGTGATCTGTGATCCCCAGCGTAGCCCGTGCACGGGCCCAGAAGGGGTCGATGCATGCCCCCAGAACCGAGACCACCCTAGAGTCGGACCCAGCCCAGAAGAATATCCCCCAAGAACAGAAGACCCTCCGTCGGCCAAAACAAACGGAACATCGATGGGTACCCTCCCCAGAATGTACGAGAGCATCCGACAAGCACGAAGAACAAAAGGGCAGACTCCCTGAGCCGACCTCGACCCTACATACCTCGGTCCGACTGCAACGATGCCCCCGATCCCCGCCCCGACCCCGGCCTGCTTCTCGCGGCTCTCCAGCGCCGCGCGCTCCTCCCGCTCCTGGGCGCCGCCCCCCGCGGGGCATCCTCTCCCCGCCCCCCCCGTCGCGCAAGCAAAGGATCGTCTGGTCGGCGTATGGACGCTCCAGCGTCCCACAGCCTGGCCTTGGGCAATGGGATGAGAAAGGAGGAGGAGGAGGAGGAGGAGGAGGAGGAGGAGAAGGAGGAGGATGAGGAGGGCGAGGAGGAAGGAGGAAGAGGCGTGGCTCGAGGAGGAGAAGGAAGAGAGAGGAGGAGGAGAGAGGCGGATGCGGGAGGATGAGGAGGAAAGCTGTGGTGGATGAAACTGTGGAAGATTTGGAGGGCCCCAGGGGCCTCCCCGGCCCTCCCCACCTCCTTCCCGCAGCCCTCCACCGCCGAGCGCTCCTCCCGCTCGAAGGGACCCCCGCCCCTCGGGGGGGGGCTGCGTAGGCGTAGTATTACGTCAAGTGGACTTTCACTTCGTACGCATTCGTCCCGTCATCTGTCGGTTCGTCCTCTTTCGTGTCGTTCTCTTTCTGTGCGTCCTCCCCCGAAGCCCAGACAAATCGACACCGGGCGAATCGAAACGGACGATCTGGAGCGGATGAAATGGAACCCAGACGAAATGAAGCGGAGTCCGTCGCTTTGCCGTCTGGTCGTCCTGAGGAGCCGAGAAGCTCGGCCCATGAGTTCGGTGTATGGGAGTTCAGGCTCCAGCGAGTTCACTTCCAGAGGGGGAGGGAAGGAGGGGTCAGGAAGGACATCTGGCAGTCACACAAGTCGGGAGTCACTTGCCAGCATTGTCGGCCCAGCGCCGTTTGAGATGAAAAGGGGAAAGATGCCATGCAAGCAACTTACCAGCATCTGACTTCCGAGAACAAGCTGCAGACGCTCCAGCGTCCCACAGCCTGGAGAACTGGGGGCGTGTGCGGCCAGGAACTTCTGCGCTGCGCGCCGCAGCGGCGGCCGACGGCGACGGGCAGCGCCCTGCAAGCGAAGAAGGCGTGCCGCCCCGCTCCGCTGGGGCGGAAGCCGGGAGCAGCTCGGGAGGCTGGCGCTGGAGGACGGGGTCGCGGATCGCGTGCCGGGCCGAAGCGTTGTGGGCCAGAGCCGGCGGAGCGACACGCCGAGCACAAGGAGCCCCGGCCGAGCGCACGGAGAACTCCCGGGCCGCCCGGACGGGCGTGCCGTATGCCTCGAGCCCCTGCCCGTGCCCGTCGCCCCCCGCCGCAAAAGCAAACGCCACCCCGCACGGCAGGGGTGCTCGGCCTCCTCTCGGGGCGGGCAAACACCCCATCTCCTTCATCGATCACCGAACCCGAACCCTTCTCCTCCTCCTCCTCCTCCTCCTCCTCCTCCTTCTCCGTCTTCGCCTCCTCCTCGCCTCCTCACCGATATTCATCATCCTTCTCTTCCTCCTCCTCCTCCTCCTCCTCCTTCTCCTCCTCCATCCAGGCGCAGCTGCTGGAACGCATCCAGATGATAAACAATTTGCTGGGGACCGACGCGGACGTCCGAGAAAACCTCAAAAGTCTCGAGCCGGCACTCTGACGCGTCTAGCGAGTCCTCCCCGCCCCTGCCTCCCCTCGATTACTTAATCCTGGACGCCCTCGATCCTCCTCCCTGCTCCGTCCCTAATGCTTCTCGATCGATCCTCGATCCTCGATCCTCCTCCTTCTCCTCCTGTCGCTGTTGCAGTCGGCGTTAGAGTTCGAGTCTCGATCCTCGATCCTCTGACGATCCTCGAGGCTCGATCCTCGATCCTCCAGCCCCCACCCTTGGCACACCCGATATGGGGACGGAAACGAAAAATGAGCACGATGCCCAACAGCAAATGCTGCCCAAACACCAACATCGGTCGCTGTTGGGCAAAACGCCCCCCCCGTATCGACTGGACGCCATCCGTAACGACGCCGGCAGCGAATCCGGTCAAGACGAACAGGGTCTGCTGTCAATATTCCGCGCGGGAGCCACCTCCTCGATCGTCGATCCTCCTCGATCCTCGATCGTCGACTCTCCTCGAACTCTCGATCCACCCCTCCTCGAGCCCTCCATCCCTCGATCCTCTCCCCCGAGGCCTCGCGCCCTCGCTCCTTCTCCTCGGGCCCCCGATCCTCCCCCTCGAGCCCTCGAGCCCTCCATCCTCCTCCTCGAGCCCCCCATCCCTCGATCCTCCTCCTCGAGCCCTCGAGCCCTCCATCCCTCGATCCTCCTCCTCGAGCCCTCCATGCCTCGATTGTCCTCCTCGAGCCCTCGAGCACTCGCTCCTCCCCCTCGAGCCCTCGATCCTCCTCCTCGAGCCCTCGAGCCGTCGATCCTTGATCCTCCTCAGGCCCTCGACTTCACACTTGGGAAACCAAAAGGCACCGGTACCGCTACTCCCCAGACCTCTCCTGGGGTGCGTTCTGACCTGGATTTCGAGGCGAATCCAGCGATGGCGGCGAGGGCCTCCCAGAAGGCCCGAAAAAGGGGAAACGAGGGAGTGGTAGGGGTGCGGGTACCTCCTCCTGGTCCGACTCCTCCTCGGGCCCTCGATCCTCGAGCCTCCTCCTTGAGCCCTCGGGCCTCCTCCGCGAGCCCTCGAGCCCTCGAGCCCTCGATCCTCCTCGAGCCCTCGATCCTCCTCGATCCTCCTCGAGCCTCCTCGGGCCCTCGGAGGCCCCGCGGCGGGCCCCGCGCCGCGCGGCGGGGGAGCCCCCGCCTGCCGCTCCCGCCGCTCGCGCTCCTCCTCGGCCTCCCGCCGCTGCTGCTCCTGCGCCCGGGCGGGGGGGGGGGATCCGCCCTCTGGGCGGGGGCGGCGGGCGTGATGGCAGAAATCATGCCGTCGGGGGTCTGGGGAGGGAGGAGGAGAACGGGCAGGAGGGGGAGGAGGGGCGGAGGAGGGACGGAGGGAGGGGGGCACGGAGGAGGGAAGGAAGAGGGGGAACAAGGAGGAGGGAGGAGGAGGAGGAGGAAGGATAGGGGGAGGGAGGCACGGATACGGAGAAGGAGGAGGAGGAGGGAAAGGAGGACAAAGAGGAGGAGGAGGACAAAGGGGAGGAGGAGGACAAAGAGGCGGAGGAAGAGAAGGAGAAGGAGGGAGGAGGAGGAGGAGGAGGAGGAGGAGGAGGAGGAGGAAGAAAAGAGCGAACGTCCCTCGGAAGAGACGTCTTCATCTTCACAGGCGCCCGCGCTGCCCCGCGCCGCCCACGAGGCATGCAGGCCCACGGGGCATGCATGCATGAGCGGCGACAACCGCCTTGTTCATGCTGTAGAGGTTGATGTTGCCGTCGGCAGGCGCCCTGGCCTCGTGGAAGGAGACCGCGGTGCCGTAGTCAGCCGGCTTGGCTCGGGAAAGGAGACGGCGAATTTTGGAGTGGTCGATGCGGTTGTCGTCGCTATGCTCGCCGGGAAGGCCCATGCGCACGAGGATGTTGTTGTCGACTTGACCGCGAGGCAAGCAGAGGTGGCCCCACATCCTTGTGCATGCCATGTAATGCGAACTGTCGTCGATGTTACGCTTGGACTCGGAATACGGATAGACGTGCACGCGGGAGCTGGTCGTCCAGGCGCCCGCCAATGACTTGGGCACGGGCCACAGCACGGGGGGAGGAGCTCGAGCGAGATGGCGTAGTAGTTCTGCCCGTCCGTTCCCAGAGAGACGGGCCAGTCGTCGATGCCAAGCAGGTCTGTCGGCTGGTTGTTATTGCCCCCGTTCGCAGTGCCGTCGGGGAGCCAGCGGTCTTCATCACGAACGTCATGGGAAGATAGCCAGCGGCAGGGGGCACGATGCTCACCGGTTTCTTCATCGCTGTGTGGCTGCCTTGGTATGGGCCGCCTGGTAGATGATTTAGCGTCGGCTGCGCGCGCACGAGGATCCGTGCCAGCGGCGTTCACAGATCTCGAGATCGACTGTGTGTCGGCTCCCACCATCGCTCCAGGGACTGATGTTCATGTCGAACATGATGTCGGATTGCGGGCGGCGAAGGCATCTCGTGAGGTACGGGACGCACCATTCCATCCAGTCGCGGTAGTCGTCGTAGCTGGGGTCAAGGAAGACGCTCGGGGTCCAGCGGGCTGCCCATGCTTCAGCACGCTCGTTCATGTATGCGATGGGCTGCGCGGCGGCGGGCGTCTGCGCAGGCTTAGCGGTAGTGGGAAGCGGGAGCGAATCTTGAACGGCTTCTTGAAAGGAGCGAGCACGTTGGAGCATGCCGATAAGCGGAAACCAGGACTTGAGGCGCTTGAGGATGGTCTTGTCGAAGTTGTCGATGTACAGTGAGGTCTGAAGCGCGTGCAGGTAGGCGGACTGCGGACATTTGCGCTTGGCTTCCATTCCCTTACCATGGGCCTAGCCACGACCCTTCTCTTCATGCCGATCGCTCGGGTGTTTCCCATCCTGGGCTCTGCCAGGAGAACTTGGCGACCAGCAGCGGCGGCACGGCAGTGAACGGGGCAAGAGCGTGGGACGCACGTTGCGGGGTGCCGAGGGAGCGCTTCAGAGACTTGTGGATGGAACCCCTGCACGCTGGGTAGAACTGGCCCGTGACGATCTGCTCGAAACGTTGCGCGATGGAGCGCCTGTTCTCCCAGCAATCGGCGCACCAGTGTCCTAGGAAGACTTGGCAGACTGGCAGTCGATTTTCAGCAGCAGCTTGGTGTTCACGAAGTAGGCGCGTCAATGTTTTGAGTGATGTGGAAGCTGTGCGCCACATAGTCGCCGAAAGAAGCGTTTCCAAGCCTTGTGGTGTCTTCACTCTTGTCCAGCGCTTGAATGTGAGAATGTCCAGCTTCGTGAAGCTCGATGGGGCTGCTCGAAGTAGCTAGTGCAGCGCGTGGAGCTCCTTGGCTAGAAAGCATGGCGCGGGCGGGTAGAGCTGGCCGATGAGGAAGAGGAGGAGGAGGAAGAGGGGAAGGAGGAGGAGGAATGAGGAGGAGGAGGAGGAGAAGGAGGGAGGAGGAGCAGGAGGAGGAGGCCGCGCAGCGACCCCACGCGCCACGCCGCCACGCCGCGGCGCGGGCGCCGCGGACATTGCCTGCGTTTGGTGACGCGGCCGCCGCCCCGGGCTTGCCCCCCGGCGCGCGGCGGCCGCCCCCGATCGTGGCGATCGCAAAGGGTACGGGAACAGTGAGTACACAGCCCAGCAGAAGTTCTGGATCACTCTGGGCAGAGAGCTCGCTGTGGCCGTCGGCGCGGTCGCTCTCCATTCGAGGCATGGGGCCGCCTGCCCAACAGAAGCCGCCATCGGCTTTAGACAACAGTAGTTGTTGGGCACCGTACCCACTTGTGGTCCGTGTTCACTTCGGGCGTCCAAGCCCGAGAACGCCTCTGGCCAATCCCATGCTCGAAGATCCATCGCCGAGGATCGTTCCTCGAAGATCGTGGGAGGAGGAGGAGGACGAGGAGGAGGAGGAGCTATTGAACGCCACAAGGCAGTGCTTCAGGTCCGCGTCGCGTCAAAAAGAAGGAGCAGGAACATGGAGGAAGAGGGAGGAGGAAAGAATTCGAGAGGCTCCTAATCAACATCCTGGAAGCTTCTAACCCGGGCAGAAAGCCTGAAGATCGAGCGCCGAGGATCGATACTCGAGGATCGGGGGGGGGGGGGGAGGTCGTGCTGCTGCTCGGCCTTGGGCCTGGGCGCCAGTGAGCCGATCCCCCGAGGGCGTCATCGTCCTGGCCATCGCCATCGTCGTCGTCGTCGTCGTGGCGCGCCTGCTCGTCGCAAGATGATCCATGCTGCTCCTCGACGGTCCTCGATGGTCCTCGCCGAGAGAGAGAGGGAGAGAGAGAGAGAGAGAGAGAACAAAAAAAATGCGCACGTCCGAGCGATGCCGAGAGAGCAGTGGCGGAAGACCAGAGCAGCGGCAGCAGCAGCAGCCCCGCGAGCGGAAGCACTGCCAGACGCCAGGGCGTCGCACTGCCAACAAGCAGACCTAATATATACACACACACGCAAGGCCACCATTGTTATGTCGGGCGTGTCCTCCTACATGCGGATTTGGGACGAACAATAAAAGTGCTCAACAATGGTCAAACATTACTCAAAAACATCGTCCCAAGACTATGTTTGACTATATTGGAATATTCCTCCTGTAGAGGGACATGCCCGACTTAACACTACCGACGGGACCTGATGATCTCGAGGCGGAACAGGCTTCAACAGAAAGATGGGAACGCCCCTCCTCCTCCTTCTCCTCGGCTTCGGTTTTTGTCGTCCTTGTTCTTTGGCGCTGGTGGCAGAGGCCTGCCAGATGGGGTCCAGCTCGGAGGATCACGCCGCATCGTCGGTGCATCGCCGATGCATCGAAGATGCATCAGCGACGTCGGCGGCATCGGCGACGCCAGCGCAAAGAAAATCAGGCTCCACATCGAGCCGCATTACCGATGCATCGGCGAAGCCCAGGCGATGCGGCGCGATACTCCGACCACATCTACTTGAACCCCATCTGGGACTCCTCGAGGAACAGGCAGGACAATACATGTGGAAAACTCTCCTCCTCCTCCTCCTCGACTTTAGCTGTTGCTGTTCTTGTTCCTCGGCTCTGGTCATCCTGCCCCCCCCCCCCCCAAGGAGCCCACAAAAGACGTACGCGCCCAACCACGCACACGAATACGGCCCCCCAGTCCGCGAGACCAGCATCGTGATAGGAACGCTCGCGCAGTGCGTAATCTCAAAACCTTCGTGGACTCATACACAGTAGGAGCTCGACTACAAGAAACCTTCCACAAGACACCTAACCCTGAGACCTCCGTACGCCCATTGATTTTTGGTGGGGACGTCACCTTGCCCATAGCAAGATCATCGAAACCCAAGAAACCCGGGGCACCCTGGAGGCAAGCACGGTGAATCTTGGCATGGGCCCCCACTGTACGTGCACGCCCCCGACCACACCCCCGCGCTCCCCGCGCGCCGGGCCGCAGGGGCGTCCTCCTCCGGCTGCGGCTGCTCGGCGGGAGGCACGTGCTGCCCACGCAGCATCCGCTTCAACCGCTCCTGCGGCGGGCCCACGGGGGGGGGCGGAAGAGGTGACAGCAGGAGCTCGACCACAAGGAGCCTTCCACAAGAAGCCCGACCCTGAGACCCCAGGACGCCCACCGAGTTTTGTGTGTGTGTGTGTGGGAGAGAATCACGCTCTCCATGGCAAAAGCATCGAAACCCAAGAAACCCAGGGCACCCTGGAGGCAAGCAGGGTGTTTCTTGGCACGGGCTGCCATCCCTGAGATCCGATGTCGTATTTTTTTCAACACGGGGTCCCCGGAAGCCTCGACACATTCCCCGGGACCTGTTTTCATCCCGAGTCGTTTTTCCCAGCCATCCTGTGGTGATGGGTCCTCGTTTTGAAGAGACGTCGCCCCGCGTTCCTTCTCCTCCTCCTCCTCCTCCTCCTCTTCCTCCTCCTCCTCCTCCTCCTCCTCCTCCTCCTCTTCTCTCCTCCTCCCCCTCCTCCCCCCTCCCCCTCCTCCACCCTCCCGTCCCTCCTCCCTCCTCCCTGCGTTTGACCCACAGGGAGCTCCACCGAAGGCGCCGGTGGCAGCGTTCGCATGGCGGCCACGCCCCATTCTGGCGCACCCCTCACACGGTTCGTGGCCCCACAGGGAGCTCCACCGAAGGCTCCAGTGGCAGCGTTCGCATGGCGGCCCCGCCCCATTTCGGCACACCCCTCACGAGGATCGTGGCCCCATAGGGAGCTCCACCGAAGGCCCCAGTTGCAGCGTTCGCATGGCGGCCCCGCCCCATTTCGGCGCACCCCTCACACGGTTCGTGGCCTCATAGGGAGCTCCACCGGAGGCTCCAGTGGCAGCGTTCGCATGGCGGCCCCGCCCCATGTCGGCACACCCCTCACGAGGATCATGGCCCCATAGGGAGCTCCACCGAAGGCCCCAGTGGCAGCGTTCGCATGGCGGCCCCGCCCCATTTTGGCGCACTCCTCACACGGTTCGTGGCCCCATAGGGAGCTCCACCGAAGGCCCCAGTGGCAGCGTTCGCATGGCGGCCCCGCCCCATGTCGGCACACCCCTCACGAGGATCGTGGCCCCATAGGGAGCTCCACCGAAGGCCCCAATGGCAACGTTCGCATGGCGGCCTCGGGCCATTTCGGCACACCCCTCACTAGGATCGTGGCCCAATAGAGAGCTCCACCGAAGGCCCCAGTGGCAGGGTTCGCGCGGCGGCCTCGGGCCATGTCGGCACACCCCTCACTAGGATCGCGGCCCCATAGGGAGCTCCACCGAAGGCGCCAGTGGCAGCGTTCGCATGGCGGCCTCGTTCCATGGCGGCCCCGCCCCATTTCGGCAGACCCCTCAGGAGGATCGTGGCCCCACAGGGAGCTCCACCGAAGGCGCCAGTGGCAGCGTTCGCATGGCGGCCTCGGGCCATTTCGGCACACCCCTCACGAGTATCGTGGCCCCATAGGGAACTCCACCGAAGGCGCCAGTGGCAGGGTTCGCACGGCGGCCTCGGGCCATGTCTGCACACCCCTCACGAGGATCGTAGCGGCAGGGTTCGCGCGGCGGCCTCGGGCCATTTCGGCACACCCCATCACGAGGATCGTGGCCCCATAGGGAGCTCCACCGAAGGCGCCAGTGGCAGGGTTCGCGCGGCGGCCTCGGGCCATGTCGGCACGCCCGTCACGAGGATCGTGGCCGCATAGGGGGCTCCACCGAAGGCCCCCAGTGACAGGGTTCCCATGGCGGCCTCGGGCCATTTCGGCACACCTCTCAGGATCGTGGCCCCATAGGGAGCTCCACCGAAGACCCCCAGTGGCAGCGTTCGCACGGCGGCCTCGGGCCATTTCGGCACACCCCTCACGAGGGTCGTGGCCCCTAGAGAGCTCCACCGAAGGCGCCAGTGGCAGGGTTTGCGCGGCGGCCTCGGGCCAGTTCGGCCCACGAGGATCGTGGCCCCATAGGGAGCTCCACCGACGGCGCCAGTGGCAGCGTTCGCGCGGCGGCCTGTGGCCACTTCGGCACACCCCTCACGAGGATCGTGGCCCCATAGGGAGCTCCGCCGCAGGCCCGAGTGGCAGGGTTCGCACGGCGGCCTCGGGCCATTTCGGCACACCCTTCACGAGGATCGTGGCCCGCCCCATAGGGAGCTCCAGCGAAGGCGCCAGTGGCAAGGTTCGCATGGCGGCCTCGGGGCATTTCGGCGCACCCCTCACGAGGATCGTGGCCCCATAGGAGCTCCAGCGAAGGCGCCAGTGGCAAGGTTCGCACGGCGGCCCCGGGCCATTGCGGCACACCCCTCACGAGGATCGTGGCCCCATAAATGTGTTGTTTCAACAACCGCGCCTGGGCGTCGTACTCCGCCGTGTCGACGTGCAACGCCACCTCCTCCCCCATGGCTCTCAAAGCCCTCTTCTGCTTTTGCTCCTCGATCAGAGGGGCGCCGTCCGCGTCGTCGTCGGCGCCCGCGAAGACGGCCGCGAACGTGTTCTTGAGCATGTCGGGTTCCGGTGGGAAGCTGTCGCCACATAGGGAGCGCGGGCAAAGATGGTATTCACAGTTGCGGTATTCACAACTGCATATGGTTGGGTCCTTCGCCAAGCTAAGCTGACGGTCCTGGGGCCCGGCGAGGGCCCCTAGAAGCAGGATAACTGCGAAAAAACTCTATCTTATTTGTTCAATACGTTCGATCTGTGGGACTGCAGTTCAGAAGACGCTCCTGGGAACCTCTCGTAATCACCTGATTGGCCGGCGTGGCCGCTCCAGTGGCCACCAAGGTGGCCCCCCCTGCGAGCCTCGAGCGGTCTCCGGTGACTCCTCCAGTGGGGCCCACATGATGCGACGAAACATCGATTTCGGGGTAAGTCGACTCTGCAGTTGATCCCCTACTCGATCCCTGTGGACTCCAATTGCGCCAGCAAACGGCTGCGGACCACTGGAGACGCAGAAAAGACATATTAAATGACAGCAAAAAAATCCCAGGGCCGTCTTCTGAAGATTCGGAGGCAACTCCTAGGAGGTCTGGTGTGCGTTCCAGGGGAGCCTGCGTGGTCCCTGACGCTGTCCGATTTGGGATAGATGCAACCAAATTTGGGAGGGGCGAGAAGGAGCAGGGAAGGGCCAAATGCGGTCCAATGCAGGGAAGGCTGGTTTCAATGTCGCCGCCCAGGACTTCCATGAACAGATATCGAAAGGTCAGGTAACTCCTGGGAGGCCTTCGCAAGAACGATTAAAGGCGATTAAGCTCGATTGGGGGCCATACTGACATCTGGGGCGGCCAAAGGGGGTTGTCCAAGATGGAGGGCGCAAACCGTGGCCGGCGGCATGTGCGCGGCCCAGGGGGGCCAGGGACAGATTGAACTAAGAACAGGTGCCGTGGCATCTGGGGGGATAGCATGGCCCCATGTCTGAGATCCACCCACCCTAGTCATCACCCCCCTCTTGGCCGCCCCGATGACAAATTAGGCCAAATTGAGCCCGGGATTCAGCAACGTTGAATCGGACTAAGCGGGAACAAGCAGGATTGAATGAGACTCATCGAGATTCAGCCCGTTCTCGATCAGGGATATGCCAGCGCCGACTCCGAACGGAACGTCCCAGGAGAAGGTAGTCTAAGAAAGGAGACCAGCGCAAGAAGGGAGCCGTCCACGACCATGGCTAGACCACGCGCGTCATGCTCCTTTCCTCGACGCCGTGCTAGAGGCAGCGGCAGCGGAGGGGAGTGGAGGAGGAGGAGACGGGAGGAGGGAGGCAGAGGAGGAGGAGACGAGGACGTCAACGGCAGGCGCAGCCGTTGTTCCAACGAAAGCGCGCTGGAGCTGGAGAAACAGATGCGACCGACATGAACGAACAAACATCTGCCGAATCGCGGCCAAACATTTCCCACACGAAATGCCGAAACCGAACCCTGGTGAACCCCTCAAACACGGCCCCCATCCCCCGTCCACAGACAAGCGGGGTACCCAGGTAAAGAGGAGGAGGGGGAGGAGAGGGTTAGGAAGCAACTAGAAGGAGGCCTTCATAAGAACGACGAGAAAGTATGATCAACCTATTAAGGGGCAATGAAAGCGGGCCAAGCTAATCCAGGTGAACCCCAAGATGAAACCGGACATACGGAACTAAGCTAGATTAGACGGGAGCTGACTAGATTCGTGGGGTTTTCAACCACAGAAGCGTACCTGCTCAGAGGGGGGTGGGGGAAGAGGGGGAGGTGGAGGAGGACCCAGACGTCTGGGGTATCGTTCGGTGTGCCATTCTGACGCCTTCCTCCGTCACTTTCGGCATCAATCGACCCCGGCGCAGATGTCGGGATCCCATGGGGCCGCGTATTCCCCCTCTGGCAGATGCATCGTCGGACATGCCGGGACAAGATCCGCCTCAATCGTTCCTCCAGCGCGCACGAATGGAGGATGCGGAGGAAGAGGAGGGGATCCGCGTCAGCCGCTCCTCCATCGCGCGAGCAAGGAGGAAGCGGGGGAGGTGGAGATATCCGCGTCATCCACGGATTGCTGGCGTTGCCTGCCATGACAACGCGGTCGGTGTGGCCGTGGATTTGCGAGGAGGACGATGTATGGGGGACCAGCTCAGGGGGGGGGGGGACATGGATCTTGTACCAGCGATATGTCGCCGAAAGATCGGCGATCGGCTCTCGATCGCGAAACCATGCGTTCCTGGGCTGGGTGGGCTGTTAGGGCCGCACCGGCGATGAATGGGCGTCTGGGGCTCGATGAACTCGCCCCTGAGCCTGATGAGAGAGAGGAGATTCAGGACGATGGGGAGGATAAACAAGAGGCGGACGACGATCTAAGAGGAAGCCGCTGGAGGAGGATGGCGAGTAGGAACATGACAGCGTCTAGGACTTCGATGGGAAACAAGAAAGAGACTTGGCACTATCGCTTTCGCTGTTCGCATACACCTCGTGACGGCACAACCTTCCCTTCAACGACACGCCTGGCCGAACCCCCCCCCCGCGAACCCGCACTAACCCGACCAACCGTCCAGGTCAACGCCCTCCAGCCAACCCTGGTGATAATGCTTTCCTTTCTGGACGCCTCTGTTTCACATATACCTTGGGAAAGCGGTGTCCTGGGACCCCAGGAAGGGGTTGGGAATTCTGACGACAACGCGGCCGCCCGACCCCTCAGAAGCCTCATAGTCCCTTCGGCAGACAGCGATGCGACGGCGGCATGGCCAGAATAACCCTAAGCTGTCCCCCATCGTCGGAGTCACACGACCAGGAACATCGGCTCTCACGGCGCTATACACGAATCAATTCCAGTCGCAGCTCTGTGCCAAAGGTTTCCTCTCGCGTCCCTTTTGTCGCTCTGCCGCGGATGCTCTGCCGCGGATGCTCCGAATCAAAGGTAAATGACTAGCACCAGTGGGAATCGTGCGCTAGACGTCTATCAGGAGGTGACTCACCGACAGAATGTGGCTCCGAATCTAGTGAGGGTGCTCCGTCCTGCGTTTGGCGCACGCTGGGGTTAGAGGCGGCCGAAAGGCCTGAACTGCTTGGGGACCCGGAACATCGGCCGGGAGGGGGGACGAGGCCAAATCCACTCAAAATCGGTCCGCGGGCCCATCCTGGGGTCCATCAGGAGCAATTTGTCACCCCGAACCCGTTTTTGAAGGTCCCTGGCCCGGCAATGAGCCCCAAAGGGAAAAAAAAATATCTTGGCGAAAGACCCAACCATAAGCAATTGTTGGTAACGCGTTGTGGGTGCCGCTTTCGGTGGGGCTCCATATGGGGCCACGAAGCGCTGCCTTGGATGGGGGAACCGCATGCGGACTGCGCCACCGGGGCGGGCCTTCGGTGGAGCTCCCTATGGGGCTACGAAACGCTGCCCTGGGTGGGGGAACCGCATGCGAACTGCGCCACTGGGGCCTTCGGTGGAGCTCCCTATGGTGCCACGAAACGCTGCCCTGGGTGGGGGAAGCGCATGCGAACTGCGCCACGGGGGCTTTCGGTGGAGCTCCCCATGGGGCCACGAAGCGCTGCCCTGGGTGGGGGAACCGCATGCGAACACCCCCACTGGGGCCTTCGGTGGAGCTCCCTATGGGGCTACGAAACGCTGCCCTGGGTGGGGGAACCGCATGCGAACACCCCCACTGGGGCCTTCGGTGGAGCTCCCTATGGGGCCACGAAACGCTGCCCTGGGTGGGGGAACCGCATGCGAACACCCCCACTGGGGCCTTCGGTGGAGCTCCCTATGGGGCCACGAAACGCTGCCCTGGGTGGGGGAACCGCATGCGAACACCCCCACTGGGGCCTTCGGTGGAGCTCCCTATGGGGCCACGAAACGCTGCCCTGGGTGGGGGAACCGCATGCGAACACCCCCACTGGGGCCTTCGGTGGAGCTCCCTATGGGGCCACGAAACGCTGCCCTGGGTGGGGGAACCGCATGCGAACACCCCCACTGGGGCCTTCGGTGGAGCTCCCTATGGGGCTACGAAACGCTGCCCTGGGTGGGGGAACCGCATGCGAACACCCCCACTGGGGCCTTCGGTGGAGCTCCCTATGGGGCCACGAAACGCTGCCCTGGGTGGGGGAACCGCATGCGAACACCCCCACTGGGGCCTTCGGTGGAGCTCCCTATGGGGCTACGAAACGCTGCCCTGGGTGGGGGAACCGCATGCGAACACCCCCACTGGGGCCTTCGGTGGAGCTCCCTATGGGGCCACGAAACGCTGCCCTGGGTGGGGGAACCGCATGCGAACACCCCCACTGGGGCCTTCGGTGGAGCTCCCTATGGGGCCGAAACGAACCGCATGCGCTGGGGCCTTCGGTGGGTGGGGCCACGAACCGCATGCGAACACCCCCAGCTGGGGCCTCCGGTGGAGCTCCCCTGGGGCTGTGGAGCTCCCTATGGGGCTACGAAACGCTGCCCTGGGTGGGGGAACCGCATGCGAACACCCCCACTGGGGCCTTCGGTGGAGCTCCCTATGGGGCCACGAAACGCTGCCCTGGGTGGGGGAACCGCATGCGAACACCCCCACTGGGGCCTTCGGTGGAGCTCCCTATGGGGCTACGAAACGCTGCCCTGGGTGGGGGAACCGCATGCGAACACCCCCACTGGGGCCTTCGGTGGAGCTCCCTATGGGGCCACGAAACGCTGCCCTGGGTGGGGGAACCGCATGCGAACACCCCCACTGGGGCCTTCGGTGGAGCTCCCTATGGGGCTACGAAACGCTGCCCTGGGTGGGGGAACCGCATGCGAACACCCCCACTGGGGCCTTCGGTGGAGCTCCCTATGGGGCCACGAAACGCTGCCCTGGGTGGGGGAACCGCATGCGAACACCCCCACTGGGGCCTTCGGTGGAGCTCCCTATGGGGCTACGAAACGCTGCCCTGGGTGGGGGAACCGCATGCGAACACCCCCACTGGGGCCTTCGGTGGAGCTCCCTATGGGGCCACGAAACGCTGCCCTGGGTGGGGGAACCGCATGCGAACACCCCCACTGGGGCCTTCGGTGGAGCTCCCTATGGGGCCACGAAACGCTGCCCTGGGTGGGGGAACCGCATGCGAACACCCCCACTGGGGCCTTCGGTGGAGCTCCCTATGGGGCTACGAAACGCGTGAGAGGTGTGCCGAGAGCAGAGGCAAGGAGGGGGAGGAGGGGCAGGAGGAAGGAGAGGAACGCGGGGCACCGTCTCTTCAAAACGAGGACCCAACACCACAGGATGGTTGGGAACAAAATCGTTCCCGAATCCAGATCTTCGAACCTGCCCCCTCCCTTCATGCTGAGCACCAGAACCAAGGTAGACTCTGGATTCTAAATTCAAAATCATTGAAATCTGGATTTAAATGAAAAATCATGGAACGCGTGCTGATTCATATGACATGAAATCCTTTAATTCTAGATTAAAATGAATATCTTTATCGAATCACAATCGATCAATTGAATGTAGATTTAAATGAAATACACGTATCGAATCTAATTAATTCGACCACTTATAAGAATAAGAAAAGGGAAAGAAAAAGCTAAAGAAAAGAGAATTAGATAAATATCAGAGAATGTAAGACAAGAATACGAGGAAACAACATTGCGAGCCGGAAGAAGAAAATAACAAATAAAAAGAAAACATAACAGAACAACGAAATAATAAGACACGACTTCAAAGAAAACCGGTTGCTATATTATATCGAAACCTACGGCTAGTTTCCGTTATCGGTAATCGAAGCTGTTGGTATATTCCGAGAAGATCTTCTCACACGCTCCGTGGCTATGCAAATTTTTGTATGATCATCTTCCTTAGGTAACCGGCCAGACGATTTAAATGAATTTCCATAATAAGTCTTTGTCAAGGAGCATCTATTCCGTCGCTTTTCGACTAAGTGCAAAGCAATCTCGTTCAAGAGTTCCTACACCACGTTTTCGATCTGCTTAAGTTAAGAGAATGTTTCCATATATTATATTAGTATTGCCATTGTGGGTGACCGGCGTTCCAATTCTGTATCGATGCGGATCAAATCCAGGTGAGAGGGTTCAGTTTATGGCAGTGAAACAGGCTAATCAGACTCATTTAGAAGCAGATTTTGGACATGGAACAGTTCGCAGCGCATAACATTCTAGAAGCAGAATTGGCAGTCAAGCGTGTTCCAAAAAGAAAGAAAAAAGATTGAGTTGAGTGCGCCGGCTCAAAAAAAACCGGTCCCACGCGTTTGCCAGTCGAATCATATGAAGAGCCGATACCTATCAAGAGAGTGAGAAGACAGAGAACGGTATCAAAAAAATAAAAGTACAGGATAATACGACACGCTACATTCAAAAAGAAGACTTACGGACGAAGCGATTGCACAATTGAAGTGTCAGAAGATGACTATATCAGTTGAATATTGCGACAAGTAAAAGGATTATCAAAGGGCGCATGCGTTTTCAAAACGAATTGTTCCTTCTAGTGACAATGTTTCGTTGATCGAGACAATCGGAGAATATCAAGGTGATTCGATCCAAGTACGCTTAACATTCCTCGATTGCAGAGAGAGTATGCCCCAACGTACGCATCTTTTCCACTCCAGAACAACTCGAGAAGTGATTTTGCAAATTGCAGATTCAAGCAAGTTGAGAGAACGAGCAAAGTTGAAGTCATCAGCGAATCGATATTTAATTGCATGTTGGGGTGATTTAGAAAAATGCATTGCAGATTCGCAGCGGGAATAATAAAATTATGATCTTGTGTTGTATGGGATTCATTTCATATATTATTGGTTTGACTTCCTTTATTATTGGTTTGACTTCCTTCCTTCCTTCATTATCGTTGCTGTCTTATCTTGGCTTATCGGTTGAGTTCGTTCCCATTGCACATCTAACGTTCCGAACCATTCGTGTCATATCAGACACCTCTGTGTTATCACAGTGTATCACTCATTTTTTAAAGAAGCCCGTTCATCATGGAAAATCCCATTTTGAAGCGATCGCACCATTAGCAGACGAATTTGTGGATTTAAAGACCGGTGTTGTTTCGCAGTCCAAAATTAGGCAGTGTTTGTTTTATTCAATCGGCTGGAGTTCCGCTTGTAAATCCTTGCGTCGCAAGCGCGATGCTAGCTCTATAAGTGTCTCTGATGTCTCTGGCGCTTTCGACCGTGTCGATAATGAAATTTTGCGTGCGAAGCTGCAGTTGGCCGGAGTGCCCCCCCCTAGTTGCTGCCTTTCTTTGGCTTCGCTGACGCAAGGCGCGAGTGACGATTGAAGGCCAGCTTTCTCGCCTGTTCAGCATGGAAAACATGGTTTTCCAGGGTATTGTTTTGGGCCCGCCTTTATGGAACACATTTTTCGCTGACGATTGCATGACTATCCGGGCAGAGTGCTTTAAGAGGGCATGTGCGCAACAGACGTTTTGAAAACAATGCGGAATTGATCGGTCTATATAAGGCGCACGTTTTGTCGTACATTGAATACAGAACCTCTGCCGTGTATCATGCTTCGTCTTCTGTCCTTCTCGACGCTCTCCTTTCTCGTTTCCTGCGTTCGCTGAGTGTGACAGACGCGGACCCTTTGTTTTTTTAAATTTGGCGCCCCTTTGTACTCTTCGTGACATACGCATACTCGGTGTCGTTCACAGAGCTGTTTTGGGACTGAGTCTTCCGTGCTTTCAGAGTTTCTTGAAGCTGGATACGGCGCCGCCGCCGGCCAGGGCTCCCAGAAGACAGAGACAGCATCGGGTGGACCATCTGATTTTCTTTTACGCTCAGCATTCCGTGTCGTTTCCATATATAATGTCATTGTTTTTGCTCGTGGTGTCAGCGAATTGAAATCTCGCCGCCAAAATCTCGTGCGTGCTCGTGCGCGCCTTTTTCGACGACTGGCCGGTTTCGTTTTCCCCTCGCCTCCCGCTGGCTTCGCACCCGCTCCGTGGGTGCCGGGATTGGCGTGGTTAGCTCTTCCCTTCTCTCGTTTTCCCTCTTCCTTTTTCCCCTTTGCCTTATCCCTCCTCTCCTCCCTCGTCGTCTACTGCTGTCGTGTCCCGCCGTCGCCTTTCGTTCGTCTGTCTTCGTGTTCCCCCCCCTTTCCTACTTATCCTTTCCCCCAGCCGCTCTGCGTGGTGCGCAGGGTGCGCGCGTCGCGCGTCGCCTCTGCGGGGCTCCTTGCTCCTTTCTTTTCCCTCCTGCTTCCTCTGCATTGTGTTTCTCTTTTTGAAAGTGCGGAGATACGACGTGCTGATACGAGATGCTTAGCAACAAAGTGCAGATGTTTGCTCCGCCCGAACCACGATTAAATCTTGCACGGTTAGAGCAGTCGCGTTTCGCAGATCTAGCAAACGAGCAAGAATTAGCCGAAGCAGAGAACGACCCTGAATTATACAGAGAAGCGCAAGAATTACACGCAAGAAGAAAGCATGTTAGAGTGTTTGGCAGGCGAAATCGCCGACAATTCAGCAACGCGACCCGATGAGTAGGTAATTTCATCAAGTGTTCCGTTTTTGTAGAGATTCTCCATATTACATCGTCACATCTCGATCCATAGAAACACAAGAATTTTGCAGAGATTCTCAGAATCTAGGTGTTGAAGTAGTGCTAACAGAGCAGGGTGCACGAGCAGACTTTCGAGGCAGTTCAGGTTGGAATTAAGGTTTGAGGCGGATAAAATAATTTTCGTCGTTCAGGATTTGATTTTCTGATGCTCTGAGACTCGAATTGTCGTGGTCGTTGAGAGAAAGAAGTTTCGAGTTTGTTGAAGAGTCATGTTTTCGAGTTTTTTCGTGGGTAGATTTTGTCAGTTCGAGCCTCGATTTCCCGCGCTTTCAGGCCTCCAGGCCAGAATTTTTCGAGCCGTCTTAGTCCAATTTTTCCAGCTGCCTTAACCCGAATGTTCGAGCCGCCTTAGCCCGAAATGGAATTTCCAGCCGCCTTACCGGATTTTCGAAACGCCTTAACCGGCGATGTTCGAGCCCGCTTACCTTCCGTTGTGCCTCCCGCGCTTCCGCGTGCTTGTGTCTGGTTTCCCTCCAACCCACGCTGCAAGATTTTTTGGGGCGTTTCGAGCCATCAAGTTTGTTTAAGGCTCGGATTTTCGAGACCGCCCAAAGCTGAGATTTTTCAGGTCCGTCAGAGTAGAGTTTGAGGTCGTTTTCAAGGTCCCTCAGGGTTTGTATTTTCAAGGTCGCTGCTCGCTTTTTCGTTTTCGCCTTGTTTTTTTTTTGTTCGTGCTATTTTTCTGTTTCTGTGTTTTCTTCTTTTTCCTCTTCTTCCTTCGTCTCCTCCTTCTGTTCCTCCTCCCCCTCCGCCTCTTCCTGCTCCTCCTCCTTCTCCTCCTCCTCGTCCTCCTCCCTCTCCTCCTCCTCCTCCTTTTCCTCCTCCTCCTTCTCCTCCTCCTGTCTCCTCCTCCTCCTCTTCCGCTTCCGCCTCCGCCTCCGCCTCCGCCTCCGCCTTCGCTTCCGCCTCCGTTTCCGCCCCGTCTCCGCCTCCGCCTCCGTCTCCGCCAACGCCTCTGCCTTCTCTTCCTCGTCCTCCTCCTCCTCCTCTTCCCTCTGCTCGCTGATGGTAAAATTCGCGTTGTTCGAGAAGGCTGACGACACGTGAGTGTAGTGAAATCATTTGAATCTAGATTTAAATGATATGGCAGTGGATGTGTATGGAAATCATTTAAATCTAGATTTAAATGATGACAGATAGATGCGGTGTATGCAAATCATTCAAATCTATATTTAAATGGTGAAGCTAGGTCAGGTCTATGGAAATCATTTAAATTTAGATTTAAATGATTCAGATAGATGACGTGTGTGAAGTCATTTAAATCTAGATTTAAATGATGAAGCTGGAAGGGGGCATGTGGAAATCATTTAAATCTAGATTTAAATGAATGTATGTAGTGAATCGACGTACCCGGCGTTGGATCATTTAAATCTGGATTTAAAGGAATAACAAAACTAGAATCCAGTGACAATGCCAGAACCAATGCTGGGCCACCTCAGACTCCCAGGCCGTCTCCAAATACAGAGACAAACAAAAACGCATAAAATTGCACTTGTGCCTGTCCGCGCGGATTTCCTGGATCTGAGCTGGAGCCCCTCCCTGGCGCGCGGGGAGTGCCAGGGGCGGCGCCGGAGGCGCCGCCAGTTCGTGTTTTTCGCAGTTTCTTCTTCATCGAGCGAGGCAACCTGGGTTACCCGGGAGGGGGGAAGGGGGGGGCGACTGCCTAAAGATACGTCTGGACCTGCTCAACCGACAGGGCGAAACTATCTTGGGAGGGAAGGGGGGAGGACGAGCCCGATGACCCGGCTTATCGCCGCACCGAAAATTAAGCAGCCTCGAAATGAAGAAACCAAGAAACCAACAGGCACTGATACCGCGACTCCCGGGGCCTCTCCCAGGGTGCGTTCGGATCAAAATCTCGAGGCGAATCCAGCGGTGGCGACGAGGGCCTCCCAGGAGGCCCCAAGGTGGGGAAAACGAGGGAAAGGGCAGCGGTATGGGCACCTGCGCTCAGTCTCTAGAACAAGAGAACGCCATAAGCAAAACTAAACTTTGGGCGCTCCGCCCAGATTTCTTGGATCCGCACTGGACCCCCCTCCCTGGGGCGCTGGGGCGGCGCCGGAGGCGCCGCGGGGGGGGCGGGGCTGAGCTCGGTTCTGAGAAATCCGCGTGGGGCGCCAAAACTTCATCTGTATGGCGCAGCCGACGCCGCCGGAGCCTCAGAGCGGCGCCCGAGCCGCCACGAGCGCCAGCAGCAGCGCCAGCGCGCCCGCGCCTGCGGAGCGCGGGGAGCCCGCCTTCACGACCTTCTTGGTGGTCGTCGTGGTGGTCGTGGTGGTGGTGCTGGCTGGCGGCGCGCTCGGATGCCGTGGGGGGGCCAGCATTGCCCAGACCTCCTCGCGCTGTGCAGGAAAATCAAGACGGGCAGCCTTTCGCTGTTTTCGGCCTGCGGGAGCCCTTCCTGGGCCTCGTCGGGGCCGTCGAGAAAACGACGCGGGAGGAGAAACCGGTCCCGGGGAACTGGGTCCCGAGCTCTGGGGGCCGCCGTCGTGAAGGAAACACGACGTCGGGGGTCTGGGCGTCCCTGGCCCGGGAAGACCCCCGAATGGTCGCTCGATCTGGAGCCCCATAGAGGCCCTCTGTGCCGCGGCAAGGGGTGCCCGGGAGGCCGCGGGGCGCCTCCCTGCATGGCAATCACGGGGGGCGCCTTGGGCTTGGGGCAGGAACGCCCGCGCACGGCAACGCCCGACCAGGCCGACCGGGCCTCGACTGCGACCTGGGAGTGCGAAAGCCTGCCGCTGCTGACGTTGCTGTGGCCGTGGTGGTGGTGCTGGCTGGCGGGGCGCTCGGAGGGGCGACGCCCCTTGCTCAGAGTTAGGAGCAGTCTACGCTGAGGAGATCGGCCCTTGTTATTTAAGGAGGCATTAGTTCTCTTGGAAGGCGGAAGAGTCTCTGACACTGACATTCCAGGGAGCGCAATGGAGGTAGTCCTCCAGACCACCTGCGAAGACGGCTGTACATCTCGACCATATGATGAATGCAAATGTCCTGATGCCATTCTTTGGAGGGCAAAGAAAGACTGGTTCAGCTACACCAGAAGTTCGAAGCGAATCCAGCCCTGGCGACGAGGGCCTCCCAGGAGGCTCCAAAAATGCGAATACGAGGCAAAGGTAACTGTATCGGCACCTATTCCTGCTTTAAGTTTTGGCCCTCCTGCCAAAATCAGCGTGAACACCCCCCATTGCCTTCTCACAAGGCCCCGCCTCCCCCGCCGCCGGACACCTCGTGCGCACCGCCAGGCTGGTGGTGGTCGTCGAGGTGGTCGTGCATTTCGTTATCTGGCACGTCTGAGTCTTCAAGGTCTCACCGGTGCACGCATTCCCCCCGTTCGCCTGCGGCGTGGCGATCTTGCGCGTGGACGACTGCTTGCCTTTCGGGCGACGAGACGGCCAAAAGCCGATCTGGGTCCCACGGTTGGTGTATCGTGACCCCCTGGCAAAGCCAAAAGGGGGGAACGCTTGGGGGGGACCGGCTCAGTGGGGGAACATCGACCTGGGATCGGCGACGCAGTGGGGGCCCGACCACGAGAAACCTTCCACAAGAAACCCAACCCTGAGATCCCCGGACGTCCATCGAGTTTTGGTGTGGGAACGTCGCGCTCACCGTCGCACGACCATCGAAACCCGAGAAACCCAGGGCACCCTGGAGGCGAGCAGGGTGCTCCGTGGCATGGGCCTCCACTGCACATCGCCGACAGATCGGCGACACACCCTCGATAGCGAAACCGCCCGGTCACGGGAGCAGGGCGGGCCTTCGGGTCCCTATCGGCGATGAGCGAGCAACATATATACGGGGCAGAATTTAACACATAGGATTAGGATTTTTACTACACGATTAATTTGTGAACGCATTTATGCATGAACTCACCGTTGTTTTTCATACTGACTCCCTGCTTTTTTGATACATGATCCGCACGCGGAGCATGTATTAAAAAGCGGCACTGTATGTATGTATGTGTATATATATAAGTATATATTTATACACACGCATATCGGGGGTCGACGCGTTCGCCCCTGAGCCCATTCCCCCCAGCGCAGGGCTGGACCTAAAAGCTGTTCGTTGTGCCTGCGCTTCGCTGCTCGTTCTGCTCCGCCTCTTGTTCCTGCACCTCCCTCCCCACACGGAGAGCAACGAGCAGCCGAAGTCCAGCAAATCACGCCGAGCAGGTCCAGCCATTCCCCCCCAACGCTGCCCCTGGAGCCAGAAGGGCGCTGTTACCGATCCTGGGCTCAGGATTGGCCTGGCCACGCTCGGTGCATGTGCCAGAGGCCTCCCAGACAGGATCGGAGTAGAAATGTTCGCAAAATCTTGCCGCCTCTTCGACGCATCCGTCGATGCATCGGCGACGTCCACGAGGAGAATATCGGGCTCCACATCGAACCGCATCGCCGATGTATTGGTTGTGAAGCGCGACCCTCCAACCCCTATCCAAACCCTCGACGTCATGACTTTGTCATCGGCAACGTCCACGAGGAGAATATCGGGCTCCACATCGAACCGCATCGCCGATGTATTGGTGGTGAAGCGGGACCCTTCAACCCCTATCCAAACCCTCGACATCATGACTTTGTCACAACGTCGACCCCCCTGGGTCACGACCCATTCCCCCGGGACCAGTGTTCCGTCAAAGAAAAACCTTCCCTCGTTTGTTGCCCGACGCGAGGGGCACAACGCTTCGTGGCCCCGTAGGGAGCTCCACCGAGGGTCCCGTGGCGCAGTCCGCATGCGTCTCCCCTGCGCAGTACCGCGCTGCCGTGGCCCCGCAGGCAGCTCCACCGAGGGTCCGAATCCCGCAGCCCGCGTGCGTCTCCCCCACCCAGTACAGCGTCTCGTGGCTCCGTAGGCAGCTCCACCGAGGGGCCGAGTCTGGGGGCCATCTGCTCAGGCCCCGTCTGGATGCCACGTGTGCATCGCTGCCCCAGGTGCCAGAGAATTCTAATCACGGACAATAGGCTCGGGATGGGCCTGCCTGCGATCGGCGCACGTGCACCATATTCTCTGACCGCGCTATTCGGCACTTAGCCCACGAGCACTCGGCACCTAAGATTCAGCCCTCATAGGGCCGTCACCCATAGTCATAGGGATGATAACCGCCCCCTCGGGTACCAACCCCAGCATGTCATATGAATACCATCGAGCCTTGCGCGGTCGGTGCACGTGCACCATCCTCGTTTAGAAAAAGGAGGAGGCGCCAACATAATCTCTCTGCGATTCTGGATCGGCGCTGAACCCTCCTCCCGGACGCGCGGATCGCGCCCAAGGCGGCGCCGAGGCACCGCCAGAGCCCAGCGCCGAAGAAAGAAAGATGCGCGGCTCTAGCGATTATGCATTCGGTGTATGCATTCGTGTGATTTGTTTCCAAGTGTACGCGTTATTTTGCTGTTTTGGGCTACTTTGCACTACTGCGCAACAAACATTACGTTTGTGCGTTATTTCGCTCCTCGATCGCCCCCGCCTTTGTTAGGTGCCCAGAACCCCGAAGGCAGACAATTTCTGCGCAAACCCCCCGTCGCGACACAAGACTCGCGACCCTCTCTACACTGAGTCAATCTGGGAGACCCAGATGTGATGGGCCTATTTCCCACAACTACCACTGGTGGTACAGGGTAAAAGGGAGGATGGGGAGGGACTGTTCCTCCTCCTCCTCCTTCTCCTCCTCCTCCTCCTCCTCCTCCTGCTCCTCCTCCTCCTCGTACTCCCTCTCCTCCTCCTCCTCCTCTTCTTCTTCTTCCTCCTCCTCCTCCTCACCCTCCTCCTGATCATCATCATCATCATCATCATCATCATCATCATCATCATCATCATCATCATCATCATCATAATCATCATCATCATCATCATCATCATCATCATCATCAGTCTCATCATCATCATCATCATCATCAGCAGCAGCAGCATCATCATCATCATCATCATCAGCATCAGCATCATCATCATTATCATCATCAGCAGCATCATCATCCTCATCCTCATCCTCATCCTCATCCTCATCCTCATCCTCCCTCATCTTCTACCTATGGTAGTGGTGGTGGAACATCGGCACATCAAGGTAGTACACCACTCTCTGGATCATGAAAAGAACGAATCGCAAGCGAATCGTTACGAACTGCCTCGAAGTCGGATCATATCAGAGCGCCCGGTTCTGGCTGCTCTGGCTGAGCCATGACCGATGCCGTGACATCGAAGCGAACCGCAGTGAACCAGAAGCGCCGCCCCAGCTGGCGAATCGAAGGGCATCGGCTCGGATCGCGGGCGGCCATTCCCGCTGCCTGTGCTCAGCTTTCGCCCTCCCCAGACCACCGACGCCATCACTTTTTCATGACGTCGACCTCCAGAAATCTCGACCCACTCCCCGGGGTCAATTTTTCATCCTCAACCGTCTTTTGACGGCTCCGAGGCCTGGCAAGGGCCCCCGCAAGCCGAATAAACCGCGTGAAGACCCTCAGGCGTCTCGTTTCCTCATTGCTTGAAGGGGTCTGGGCCCCAACCTTGCCTTGGTCGCAGGTCGCGCTGCACGTCCCCCAGGCGCCCCACGCCGCCCACGCGCAATGCACTGGGGTGGGGGCGCGCCGGCGGCGGGGGGGCGCGCGGCGCCGGGACCACCAGCCCGACCTCCTGGCCTGCGCCCTCAGGTCGGCGTCCTCCTCGACCAGTGAGTCCTCCTATAGAGAACCCCTTCTTTTGGCGGCGCGCAGAAGGGGGTAGGGGGAGGGGGAAAGGCGTTGGCGCCAGCCTTACTCTTACAGAGATAGCCCGCACCTATTAAGAAGCAGGGGTGCTTCTAATAAGCCTCCCCCCTCACCCTACCCCCCTCAGCGCGTGGCCGAATTTGACTGGCTCGATAGGGTCGCCCCGTGGCCAAGGAAGGAGGAGCAGGTGCGCCGCCAGAGTATGGCCATATCCGCTGCCGCTGGGTCGTGCTCCGAGGGCTCGTGGAGCGGCGAATCTGGATATCTGCCCGCCCACTCGGGCGAAGATATCTCCATACCCCCCGCTCTGCGCGATCTCAGAACACGACTCCGAAGCGAAGGGAGGCGAGGCAAAGGAGAAGGCAGCTGCCAACGCAGGCAGAGCAGGCGCGGCCCGGCCGGCGCCCCCACGCGCCCCGGCCTAGCGGGGCGTTCGCTCCCGCCGCGCGGCCGGGGGCGCTAAAGTCGCGGCCAGTCCGCAAGAGACCTTTTCACGAGAAACCCCGCCCTGAGACCCCAGGACGTCCATCGGTGTTCGGTGTGGGAGCGTCACGCCTTCCATGGCAAACCCATCGAAACCCACGAAACGAGACCCAGGGCACCCTGGAGGCAAGCAGGGTGCTCCTTGGCATGGGCCTCCACTGTACCCCCGCAGGTTAGACTTCTGAAACGAAGGCTGGGTTCAGAGTGCGAAGGATGTTTGTAGCCAAATGGATTCCAACGGTTGTGTCCTCGGCACCCGTCAGTAATCTTTTGAAGCAGACAGCAAACTCATTTGTCTGAGGGAATCAAGCATCCAGACTGGACCCTGGGCGTTGTCTGGGCGCCTCTTGTTTTTGGGCGCCTCTTGTGTATCTGGGCCTGGACTACTGTTTCAGAACATGCTTGGAGTGAAGTCTGCTGTCTGAGCATAGACCCATATTAACTCTAAGCAGAACATCTGGCACCACTCATGACTGCCATGCACGGCGGAGCCCTAGGCCAGACGTTCCAGCGAACGCTAAAAATGTTCGACTGACTTGGCACGCACCACATTTCTGTGGCAACTCATGGGGGCCTCCCATAAAATATGTTGGGCTCTTGCGCATCGACGCGAATCGGTACTAGTCGACGCGAATCGACGCTGGTCGACGCTAAGTCGGCGCCGAAATGGCGTTACCTCATCGATAACAAGACGCGAATCAACGCTACCACACTCTAATGTTAGGTCGGGCATGTCCTCCTACAGGCGAATTTTCGAAGAACCGCGAACAGAGTCCAACCATAACAAACAAATCAACAGAGCACGACAAATCGTCACAGTACTATGCTATTCCTATTCTTGAGCATTTCTCATGTAGAGCGACATGCCCGGCTGAAATCCAATGATGGGACGGAGTTACGAGGGCATTCCAAGCTCCCATGCTTTACTACTTAAGACGCGCACCGCCACGCCAGTCCTGACACGCCCCACGACCTCCGAGGCCTTCGAGAGCGCCTCCCGAGGCCTCTGGAGAGCGTCATGCTAACGCGGGTGCTAAGGGCGGGGGACCTACATGGGGGGTGAAGAACAGGGAGGGCCCTCCAGGGGCCCTTTAGGGCCCCTTGTGGGCACCAGCTGGCCCCAAAAAGGGGCCCTTTAGGGCCCCTTTGGGGTCCTTTTCTTGACCCCCCATGCAGGTCAGCCCCCCCTACCACCCACCCGATTTCCCGAGGATCCCAAACATTTTCTGGGCTCAGGCCGCTCTACAACAACTGCGCCATGTTGAAGCGTCCCGGTGGCTCCCGATTCGTTCAGACCAACCACCGGAGGCCAGAGCCACTCCCCGAAAACCACCGATCCTCCCCAGACCTCCAGCATCTTGAAAAATCAGCGCGCAAGTTTTGTTGCCACTGATTTGCCTCGGGGGGCCCTCGCCAAGCTCTGGGACCGCAGACAAAAACCAACAACTCAGGATACAAAAGCGGGCCGAGAACGGATACGATTGGAAACCGCAGACTGACAAGATCAATGCATCGGATACCAAGACATCCACCAATATGATTTCGTCAGTCCGCTGCCACACAAGTCTCGACAGTCTCGACCGCTTCCCCAGGAGTAGTTTTGCGTCCCGGACTCACTGTTCTTTGTCACGAGGCCTGAGAGTCTACTTCCCGAGGGCCACATTCAAATAAAAACCATCGGCAGAAAAACTCATATCATCGAACATCTGGGTACTCTGGGTTGGGGAGCGGCGAGCATATCTGTATCTGCGCCCTCGCCGTTTGGATTCTGACGGCGCGATCCCGCGGACACCTTCCGCGCGGGGGATTCGCGACAACAACGCCCAATATCCGCGGGGTGGCGGCCCAGGCGGCCCAGCAGCCCGGCCCGCGAGGCCGTGAATATGGATCTGTCTATCGCCCGCGAACCCCCCGCGCCGACCGAGGCGCAAACGTCCTGCGTCGCCTGCGCCACTCGGGGCGCTGGAAAACCCAGTTTTTTACCAGCGTGGGCCATGTAGACCCCTACCTTGAGATCCACCTACACGCCCCCCTGCCCCGTCAGCGACACCCTGAAGGCCCCGAACCAAAACAACTTGCAATCTCTTTGGGGGTAGATTGTTACGTTCGTCGTCTGCCGCCTGAGGAGATAGCCTCGTCTTGCTTCTGCCGGCTTCCGCCGCCGCTCCGCCTTCTTCCGGGCCCCTCGAGGACGAGGCCTTTTCTGGAATGCCTCATCTGTTTTTCGCCCACGGATGGCTCCTCCTCCAGGTCGTCGAGGTCGGTGCCGCTGGTGTGGTTGTGCCTGCGCATGACGACCCCGCCGCCCTGCCCCACCTCGGCGGCGTTCCCGGCCGCGTCCACCGCCACGTGCACGCGGCCGCGCTGAGGCCAGTGGGCCTCTCGGGGACAGCGAGGATGCGACCCACAGCATGTTGTTTAGAATATTCGTGGTCACGCCGCTGGCCAGCCCCCGCCCCCTCCGCGCCCCCCACCCGTGGTCGCGTTGCGATTCGCGCGGTGCGCCGCCGGGGCATTCCCGCGCGGCGCCAGAGCGAATCGTGACGGGACAGGCCCAGTCTCCCCCTCAGGCATACCCACCCACGGTCAGGCCCGTGACCGCCAGGGAATTCGAAAACGCTTTCCAGGTAAGCCTCTGAGGGGTAAGGTGAATGCGAGCAACCGGTTTGCAAAACATACTGGATAGGGACGGTAGAACTATCCAGCGCGGATGAGTGCCTCGGAGATAGAATCTTAGTTGGGGACAGCGATGCCTGTCGGCTCCCCCTTGGAGCGCCCGAGTGCTATGCTTCTACATCTAGGTGCTCTTGGAACTCTGACAAGAAAGGGGCCGGGGGGCCTACAGCAGCGGTTCGTCTGACTCGCTCGGGGCATCCTCACGATCTGCTCCGAAAGCAAAGGAGCCCCTGCCACTGAACAAGCAAACCGCCTCAGTCGTACCCACAGTCTCGCCGCGAACGTGCGGGTGTAACAAACCCTGTAACACACCCTGGCGGCTCCACCTTGGGGTACCCAAGTGATGCGCCTGTTATGTCGCCGGTAGACAACAAAAACCAGGGTAGACAAGACCTAGACACAGCGCCTAAGTCATCCTCGCAATCTGGCCGCGAACGGGCGAGTGCAGTACCCTCTGGCGACTCCCGCTTGGAATGCTCAACTGCCAGGCCTGCTTTGTCGCGGTGACCGTGGGGCCCTCAAAACAAATATCCGGGGGCAAAACACTGACAACACCTGAGACATCTCCACCATCTGGGCGTCTAACACCCCGTGGCGGCTCTCCTTGGGGTACCCAACTGCCACGTCGTCCATGTGAGTACCAGTAAAAATGAATTCCGGGTGAGTCTGAGAGTTAGCCTGAGTATGAGTGATCGGGAGAGGGGTAAGGAGGCGAGAAGGATGTGAAGCGGAGGCGACAAAATCTGTCGATCCCTCGGCGTGTGTGTGAAACGCTTTTCGGTTATCGTCGTCGTCGTCGTCGTCGTCGTCGTCGTCGTCGTCGTCGTCGTCGTAGTCGTCGTCGTCCCGCTCCACCCCTTTCCCTGGGCCCTGCTCCGCTACCCACCCAGCCCAACGGAAATCAAACAACGTCACCACCGATTCGAAGGGAAGCCCTTCCCCCCTCTGACTCCTTCCCTGCCCTGGGGGGGGGCGGGAGGGGGGGAGGGGGGGGGGGGGGGGGCGGGGAATGGTCCCATGCAGGCGGAGGGGTCCGGGGGGGGGGAGGCCCAGGGTCCAGGGCCCGGGGTCGTGAACCTCACTCACCCCACGGCCGGACCCTCTCTGTGCACGGGGGTGGCCCCCCTGTCAGCAGGGCCCCCGCCCCGCCTCGGCCCCTGCTCAAGCCCTGGCCCCGGCCCCGCGGCCCCGGCCCTGGCTCCGGCAGTCCTGGCCCCGGCCCGTGCCTCGAAGGCCCCCGCCCAGAGAGCCCCAAGAAGGCCCCAGTCAGCGTCGTCGTGGTCGCCGCCGCCGCCGTCGCTCCCCTTAAGGGTCGGCCGCACCGGCCGCCAGGCCTTCCCAATAGCAACAAAATCGCCTGGGTCGCTGGGTGCCTTGCTAAAATCTCCACAATAGGACTTGAAAAATGATTTTACCTTGCGCGCGTGTGACAGCCCCTGCAGAAAAGTACTCTGGGAAGGTCCTGGCAGGTCTGGATCAGATGTGCCAGAACTTCTGGGCGCGGCCGTGGAGGTCCCCAGAGCGCCCCAGAAGCGCCCCAAAAGGAGGCGCCAAATAGGTGGCGTGCCCCTCGGCTTCAGGCCAAGAGTGTTCAGAGATGGACAAGTTGGTCTCTCGAGACAGCCCAAGACGCCCCAGGAGGGCGACCCTAAGAGAACCCGAATAAGCAACATTGATTGACAGATTTTGCTGTTACCACCTTCTCAAGCTTCCGACCGCCCAAGACAGTCCAAGAGGCCTCCGAGATCGCTTCAAATCAGCCCAAGGGGCTCCCAGGACGGCCTAAGAGGGCGCTAAGACGGTCAAAGAGGCCTGCCCAGAGGGCTCTGGAAGCCCCCGTGAGGGCCCCAAGACGGGGAACCCGAAGAGACAGATCGAGCCTTCTCCAAAATTGGCTGCCCAGACCGCCAGTAGGCCTCAAGGAAGCCCTCAAGAGGCTCCCAGAAGCCGGCACCAGGACGCCGCACGAGGTCCCAACAATCCTGCCAAGGGGCGCCCGAGAGGCCAGTCTTCAGACCCCAAGAAGCCTTCCAAAGAGGCGCCTTGTCCGCAACCCAGTTTGGCCCCCACCGTGCCCCAAGAAGCCGTCGAGAGGCCTCTTCCTGATCCTCCTCCTCCTCCTCCTCCTCCTCCTCCTCCAACTCCTCCCCGAATCCCCTATCTTCCTTCTCGCCCTGTTTGGGCACACAAACATGTAGCAACAGTGGTGCAGAATGGGCGGGCGGAATGAGCGAAGCGATTAAATTCGGCGGTCCCCCTGCGTGCCCTCGCCGAGATAGCCGTCGGCATTCTCTGGGCGCCTCTTGCAGCTCTCTTGCAGCATCTGGCGACACTCTTGAGGCCTCCCAGGCCACATTGGAATACCCCCAGGGCCTCCTGGGACGTCCTGAAAGCCTCATGGGCCCTTCTTGGGCCGTCTGGCCGCCCTTTTCGCGGACTTTTGGATCGTCTTGGGTGCTGCCAGGAGATCCCTGGACGGCTTCAGAGGCCTCCAAAGCACGTGGCAGTGCCACGGTCTGCCTCTCTGTATCCCACCCTCCTCGGTTTCCTTCGCCGTTGTCGACAACTTGAGGTGCCCTTGTTGCCCGTTTTCGGACCCTATTGGGGCCCTCTGGGGATCTTCTTAGGCTCTTCTCAGCATCTTCTTGGACCCTCTGGGGCCGTGCTGGACCCCCCTAAAGAGAAACTCCAGGTTGCATGAAACAGTGGGGCGGCGGTGCATGCCCCCTCCGGGGCGTTCACAGAAGTTCGGCCGTCCCCCTGCGGGCGCTCGCCGAGTTAGCCGTCAAGGTTGATGGATGAGATGGAGGATGATGCAGGAGAGTGCGATGGTATGCGTCAGACATGCTAAGGGGGGCTTCGCGGACTCCGCTGGCAGATGATGTTTCGATGAGGCACTTCTTGTATTGGTTCTCCTGGGGGAATGTACACAAACGCATGGCATGCGCTCGAGGGCTGGGCCCAAGTGCGTGACAACTCTAAGGCCACGTGAACATGCAAGTGATCTGCGCCCCCACGGACGGGAAAGCCTCGACTAGGCACCCCCCTCACGCATTCCCCTGGCCGCCTCGCGCATTCCGCTGGCCGATTTTGGTAATTCTTCGCGGGACATCCAACATTACGACTGAAACGTGCTGGGGCAAGTGACGACATGGCACGACGAGACGCGCCCAGAGAGATGCGAGAGCCTCGCGTCAGCGCACCGCTCACGCATCTCTTGCCTGACATGATCCTGTTACGCGCAACAAGATTTTAGTGGGCAGCGCACTCAGTGCGACTGCACCGCCGTTTCGGCACACACCCGACGCACATCATGCTCCACACTCTACGTGGACATGTGTACACACAAGCGAATTGCACTCCGAGGCCGTTGGACACCCCACGGGACGCCAACGTGCCTCCAGGAACCGCAGCAACGACCGGAGCCAGCTTTTGAATTATCCGCGGTCGCGGCCGTCACCAGCTCCGCCCCCCTCTCCCCCCTAAGCGACGTCACGTTTCGCGCTGGCGGCGTCCGGGAATGCTTAGGGATGGCCGAGGACGGGTAGGAGCACTATCCCCACCTGAGCCCATCCCCGTCCCTGGCGGCTTTTGGGGCATACCTAGCTTTAGGTCGGGCCTGTCCCCCGACAGGCAGATTTTGGGCGAAACTGAAAAACTTGTCAAAACATACCCCAGAGCGGTCGACTAATACTTTTGGGGGGACTTTTTCTGGCTTTTTTTGAACTACTCCTCCTGTAGAGGGACAGGCCCGTTTTCACACTGTCCCCGCCTGTGCCCATCCCCGTCCCTGGCGGCTTTCGGGGCATCGCTGGGACCTCCGGCGGCCGTTTCGGGACGACCTCCGGGCGCCCCCTGGCGCCTCTCGGCGAGAGGCGCGGCTGCTGGACAGCAGCCCGAGGCCGAAACCCACCGCCGAGAACCCACGCCTTCGCCAAAAACGCCTCGAACCTCGCGAGCCTTTCCCTCTCCCCCCACCGCTGCCACCAGGCCTCCACGGGACCCTCGAAGTCCTCTGCGCCATCCTCGGCCTCCTCGTGCTCCAGCTCCTCCGCCTCGGCGTCGAGCTCCTCGGCGTCCGCCTCGGGCTCGGCACCTGGGCTCGCCTCCGGGGCATCCCCTCCCGACTCCGGGCCCTCGGCGCCCTCCTCGGCCATCTTCGGGGCGTCCCTGGGCGGCGATTCAAAGATGGGGCCCGGAGGGATGTGGCTCAAGGGCGAGTGGCTTCAAAAAGTGAAGGATCGGCTTGGGACTCCTTTTATTGCCCTGAGGGGAACCTCCCTCAGTGGCCCATCTTCAGAGAACGACTCACGGAAGCTCCTGGGCGTCCCGATGGCAGACATAATGCATCTCCCTCTCTGCTCTCGGGTGCAAATTATGGATCGCTCATGCGCGCCATTTCAGAGCAATTGGGTGCCGATGGGCGATATTGGGCGATACCTGGTGCTGTTGAACACTAGCGAGGGCTATTCGCCGACATGCATTCTAGATCGGGCATGTCCTCCTACAGGCGGGCTTTGGGCGAAAAATGAAGGATCGTGTAAAACAACTTCGAAACTGTCACACAGAAGTAGAGCGTCAAAACATCGTCCCCAGACCATTGTCTTGTCTGTTTCTGAATCTTCCTCCTGAGGAGGGACAGGCCCGACTTAACAATACGGTGGGGGCATTGGGTAAGAAACCCTTAGATGAAGAGTCCAGGGTCTGGAGGCCAGTGGAACTCCAATCGAGGCCTCGCCATGGATATCACCGCCGACCTCATCAGATAAGGAGCCCTCCAGGGTCTGAAGCCTCCCGCGCGCGTTCCTCCAGCAACGCCCTCACCGTAGATGGGGGCTATTCGCCGACGCGCATCCGGGCCAACCCGAGCGGATCCTTCCGTGACTCGCTGCCTGACCCCTCTTTGAACCGCGGGCCTCGCGTGCGCCGCCGGGGCGCGCTTCCCCTCGCGGGCACGACCCACCACCCACATCGACCGCGTCCTGGCCCTTCTTCTGGGGAGGGACGCCACAAGGCCGAGGCGCAGTGGAGACTGACAAACATCTGGCCTCGAGGGGCAAGACCTCTGTCCTTACGTTGGGCCTGTCCCCCCTACAGGGGGATTTTGGGCGAGAAGTTAAGAATGGTCAAAACATACCCCCGAAACGCTCAAGAATAGTCAAAAAACAGTCCCCAGACCAACTATTGGTTGACTATTGTTGAATATCCCTCCTGTAGGGGGACAGGCCCGACTTAACTCTATCCATATCCGCTGCTCCTCGGGCTTCTGGGGCAAGAAGCCCGAACGACCAAGACGCTGTGGACGTGGAGGCAAATCTTGCCCGCACTCCTGGCAGGTCTGCGCTGGATCGGCTCGCGACATCGGATCGGGTCGAGAGCGGTTCGAATCGCCAGCGGATCGGATCGGCATAGAATCGCCGCGCCCCGCTTCCGGCTGGCCCTGCCCGCTGCCGGCGCAGAGGGCCCGATCGCATCGACTTGGATCGCAAGCGGCCCCGCCTGGCTCGCGTGGCCGCCAGCCGCAGCGTGGTGCGCGCGGTCCGCGGCGCGGTGCAGCTCGGCAGCCTCCCGCGGGTGCGCGGAAGGGCCGCCGTGCGGGCGGGCATCCACCGCGCCGTGCAGCTCGGCCTCGCCGTGGCCGTGAGCAGCGGCGGTGTGGCGGCTCCGCGGGCCGTGGGGGGCCGCGTCGTCGGCGACGATCGCTGTCCCGAGGGTGCCACGGATCTCGAAGAAGGAAAGACGCCATACGCATGAACTTTTGGCGCTGCGCGCGGGCCCCCCCCCCCCCGGGCGGCGCCTCTGGCGTCGCCCCTGGCGCGCTCCGCGCGGGAAGGAGGTAGGGTCCAGCGCAGATCCGAGAAATCCGCGCAGAGTGCCAAAAGATTATGTTTACGGCGGTTTGTCTTCTTCAGGGATTGTCGCAGCGAGCAGCAGCGTCACCGCGGCCCACAACATTGCTTTGTGAAGGGAAGGGAGAAATGCGGAAGAACTCGCAATTCCGCCTCTCGCGTGAACCACAACGGCTGCGGGGGGGGAGGAAGAAAAAGCATCAGAGCGGTGCCGACACTGCTCTTAGCAGCGCAGGCCCAAGTCAGCTGTTTGACATACATCTGGCCTCGTAGGCTACGGTGGCGGTCAAAACGGGCTTCCTGAAGGACGCTTGGGAACTCACACTCACGAGTGTTATCCTTCCCTGACTTCAGAATTGGGTACGCGTGATGGCGAGCTCGTCATGTCCACTAGGCACTTGGTCACCGTCACGTGGAATGCACTCAGGCCCAAGACCTCGTTCTCGAACGGATTCGACGGATCCTGCCTCGTGAGCAAGGACGCTTGGTGGCCATGGAGACTGATTGACCTCCTGGGCATGAGCTTTGCGGGGGCAGCGAAACCAGAGATAAACCCAGGAGCTCATCATTGCAGATTGGCACATCGAGCCAACCGGAATCGTCAAGTCTCTCATCCGCCACATGAGTGAAGTCGCAATGACCAATCATGGCTGGAGAGACGTGGCTGCATCCCCGAAAGCGCGTTCTAGGTGAGAGGGCCCGCCCGATGGCCCTAAACGGACTAGTGCAATACCCCGAGGCCGACCCCCCCCTCCAGGAGGTAACAGTGCTGTGCCAACTGGCACGCGACAGTCAGAAGGCGTTGAAGGGAGGCGCGAATCTGAACACGCGTTCTGGCTGAGGGGTCCCACGATATTTGGCCCGATCGAGCCCGTGCAATATGCCCTGGACGAGCCCCTCTCGAGAGGCCCAACTGCGGTACTTCCTCGACCGCGCAGATAGCAATGGCCTCGGTGAGGACCTTCATGTGATCTGCAATGGCACACGCATCGTCTCTTCTGGTATCAATCAAAGAGATTGAACACTGCTGATTGCATTAGCCCTCAAAAAACCCATTACGCGCCAGCTTCCCCCGACGTCGCGCTTCTTTCGCAACTCGAACCCCGGAATTCTCGACCTCTTCCCCGGGACCGGCTTCTAGTTCCTGAGCCTTCGTGCTGATCGCTCAGGGACTGGCCGATGTAGGCCCCCCAGGACGCAGAGAGCCACAACGAACAACAAAACAGCACTCCCGTCGCGTTTTTTTTTTGTCGCGACGCGAGGAGGCCCGCTTCGGGGTCACAACTCGGGCCTGCGGCTGCCATTCGGGACGACTCGGGCACCGCCTGAAGCACTTCTGCTTGTGCTCCTGTCACGCTGGGGCTCGTACCCCGTGGGCGCAAAGACGGCCCCCAGAGCCCGACGAAGCGGAGGAAGCACGCCAGGATTCAAACAAAGCAGTGCGTCAGCACCACCCCGAACTCTCGACCCCTACCCAAGGGCTGGCTTTTCATGCCGAGCAGTGCTTTGACGGCCCTGAGGGCCCGAAGCCGCATCCCCAATGCCCAAAAAATGATGACCAGCTGGCCGCCTCGATGTATTCGAGGCGCCAGGTGTCCGGGAGGAACCAGACATAGGACGTCGCGTGCTTTGTCGCAGCGTGGCTCCCCACAGATCTCTGAAGGCCCGGCAGGCCCGAAAGCAACAAGCACGGGCCACACTGGCCGCTTCGATGTGCTCGAGCCGCGGCGTGGCTCCCCATTCGAAGCGAAAGACCTCTGCTGGCGGACAGGCTTCAGAACAATCTTGCGGACGGTTCCGGGTCCCCAAACAGGCAGCGAAAACCGCACAAAAACCATCGCGCGACTCGTCGAATCTGCGCCTGCTTGCCGTCAGCCGCCAGCGACACCCAGGCTGGAACCGGCACCCACCAAAAAGAAATGCTGGCCACCGTAGATCCCAAGCTGTGTTTTGCTAGCAATCTATGGTGTGCAATGTACGTGGGACAATATACAACTTGCAATATGTGAGATGGAATTCGATGTGGTGCAGTCTACGTGGTGCAGTGTGTTTGGTGCGCAACTCATGCGGTGCTACCAGCGCGGTGCAAGTTAACGGGTGCAACCTATGCTGTGCTATCTACGTGTTGCAATATACTGTGCGACCTACGCGGTGCAGCCCACGAGGTGCAACCGACTGGTGCAACAGATGTTGCGCAACACATACGGCGTATGTGGTGCAACGTATGTTGTGCACTCTATGTGGTGCACGATCTGTTACGAAGATCCAGGTGATGCAACCCATGCGGTTCAATATATGTTGTGCTTTCTACGGGGTGCGGTTGAAATTGTACAACTCATGTGGTTCAATCGATGTTGTGAAATCTACGCGAGGCAATAAGCGTGCAACTTGCGTGGTGCAATCTAATGCATGCTTTGAACTCTAGGTGGGGTACTATGTGTGGTCAACCTATGCTGTGAACCCTACGTGGTGCATTCTACGTGGTACAATTCGCTTGGCCGAACTTGAAAATGATAACCCCCCTGCTCGCGCAAACGTCCCACCAGACGGCGGCGATTGCGATGATTGCTTGGCGTTGGCTGGTGCAGCTCTGCGGCAGCGCTAGCCCGCGCATGTTCACGCGCGTAATGGCCAGCTAGCGAGGCGCGGCCGATGCAGCCGCGGTGGCGCTGACCGCTGAGCACTCCCAGCGGGCATTTCAGTGCGAGTCAGAAATTTGGGCGGGCAACTATCATGGCGACGCCTCGTACGGTAGAACGGTTGATGAGAGACGCGATGATGGTGACGATGGTGGAAATGACGACGGCAATGCCAATGCGGCGCCGATGTTGATCACGCCCGCCCATAATGATGACGATGTCCTCGTGTCGGTGATAAAGGTGTTGGATGGAATTCGACATAGTTACGCGCGCGGCCAACGCGCGCGAGTGGCCAGCGTTGTATTATCTGACACGGGTCGTGTCTCCCAAGACGCACGCAAAGGACGTTCGGATGAATTCGACACGCGGCGCGAGAGGCCCGTTTGGCAGAATTGTTGGAAAAGCGGTGGTGTTGTTGAGAATTGGCCCGGGAGTGCGCGCAGATTTGTTTGACGCCTGATGATGCAAAAACCAGATGTTTGTTTGAAAGGCATTCGGGACACTGGTTTTTGACATCCGTACGAAACCCAAATTTTTGAAAGACGCGCGCGCGACGACACGCGCGCGAATGCAATTCGTCCTATTTGTTGCCAAGGGTTCTTGCGACAGCACGCCCGCAAAGGAATTCAAACGATTTCAACATGCGCATGCGACAGGCCCATCCGGAAGCTGATTATGACCATGGAGACAAACAATGGTTTTCTGAAGAATCTGCAACAGCGCGAGCACAGACTTGTTTTGAACATCCTCGCTGCGAAGCCATGCGTTTGTACATGTTTTCGTGAAACTTGCGAAACCTCGAGTTTGAAGGATTGCGGCATGCGCGCGCGACGGCGCGCGCGTGTACACCTCGTCCCGTTTTTTGCTGCAAGGGAGTATTGAAAACTTGCAAGTTGTGATGAAAGAGTGCACGTGCATACTATGTGTTGCAAATGAACCGAAGGGAGGTGGGTGATAAGGGCTGGCCTGGGATGGTATGGACTCATGTGTAAGATGGACGACGGACGGGTCAGAATCATATGTACTTTGCAATACGAAAAGCCGGACCGATAAGACCGAGGGGGGTGATAACCTAATACTCTTTTAGAAACAAATATCTACGTGGTGCAATCCACTCTGATAGTTTGCATTCTATGTGGTGGTACCCCTGTGCGGAGCGGCGACGGCGGCCCAGACGACCGTCGGCGACGAGGCGGCGACGGTTCATAGCCGCCAGACCGACGAGACGGCCCAGACGACGGGCAGCGCCGAGGCGGCAACGGGGAGGCGACGGCGCGTACATGGCCGCAAGAGCGACGACACGGCCCAATTCCTTCTCAGGATAAGTAAGAACTCCTAAGTGCAAGCGCTGCTTGTGGCATGAGACCTCCGAGGCGCAAGAGACAATTTGGGGAATCACGACTCCAAAGAACACGGCCCACGCCGGAGGCACTTCTCGTCCTCCACCAGCGAGCTTCGACGTGCCATCGGCACCCCTGCGTCCACGCCGAAGGCGTTTCCCGGTCAACCGTTCGTCGTGACTTCTTCCGCGGGGCGACGTGTGAGGTTGGAGGAGGTCTGTGCCCCGACACGCGGCGGGCCCTCCTTCTCGGGATTGTACGGCAAGGGCGGCCTGAGCATCCGCTTGAGGCGCTCTTTCTCAGGGTCGTAGACCTCCCGCGGACCCGGGGCGCGCTTCCCCCGCTCACTGCAGGCTCTGCTGGAGGAGGAGGAGGAGGAGGAGGAAGAGGAGGAGGAACAGCAGGAGTGTCTCTCATCATCTCGTCCTCCTCCTCTGTTCCCTTCCCTTCCTCCTCCGTCTCCTTCTCATCCTCCTGTTCCTCCTCCTTATCCACCCCTCTTCCTTCTAGACCAGATCGGACAAGAACGGGGAGCACCGATTTTGTCCATTGGGCTCGTAGGGGTAACAGAAGACAAGGATGACGGCGACGGCAAGGCAGCGAATGACGAGGCTGACAGCTCGGAGGACGGGGAACGCAGCGAGGGGAGCAGGAGGACAACGAGTGGGAAGACAAGCGCGAGGACGAGGACGAAAAGATGGAGGAGGACGAGTACGAGCAGGAACGAAAAGGATGAGGAATGATAACGGAGCCCGAGAAGGAGGTCGAAGAAAAGGGGGGTCCTCGAGATCGTTTGAGGCTACCTTGGGGGCTGTTTGGGCGGTTTGGGGCCATCTTGGCGCATTCTGGTGGCCTCTCGGGGGCCCGTCGGGGTGCTCTTGGGGCCTGCGGGGGTAGTCGTGTTCCGTCTGGGCGTGTCTTCAGGTTCTGTGGGCGTTCCCTCAGGCCGCCTTGGCGCCATTTTGGGCCGCCTGGGGCCGTCTGGGGGCCTCATGGGGGGTTCCTTGGGGGCCCCCATGGGCCCTCTTTGGATCCTCTCGGGCGCCCTGTGTGGCTTCCCCTGGACCACTTCCTCATCCCGAGCCGTTGTTCGACGGTCCCGGGGCGGGGTATTTGAACGCCCGAGATGGGTATGGGAAAAATCTGCACAATGCTCGAATGGTGGTCCAAACCAGCAGCGGCCGCTGTTGGGCAGGCGGCCTTTTGTGCTAAAAAGACACGAGCCCTGTTCAAAGTGAAAACGAACTGCTGCTGGTCTTTGTGCCCATTCTTTCCCTACCTACTTCGGCCGTCCGGGGGTATGGCCGGACCTAGGACAAGACAACACCCCCCAAGAACACGTGGGACCCTCCGCCCTCCCAAGCTGAAGAACCCTCCAGGACATTGGGAAGCCCACAAAAGACGTACGCGCCCAAACACATACATGCACACGGCCCCCCAATCCGCAAAACCAGCCTCGTGATACGAACGTTTGTGCAATGCGTACTCTCGGAACGTGGATTCATGTACGTATACGCTCTTCTGTCGATCCTGAGACATCCATACCCCAGGATGCACCAGAGTTGCAGTTTTTATTTCCTCTGAGGACTAGTTACGTCTGACGAAATTCGTTCTGGTCGCCATATGCCCGAAATGGACGAAACATGAAAGTGCAAAAAAGTGTAACATCAATGTAAGAAATTTACAACATTTCCGCATACGGAAATATACGCAAGGCTGCTACTCCGGAAAGGGCTTCAATGCTCGGCTTAGAGCGCTGCTGCCTCCTGCCAAACAACTCCTGGAGTGCGTTGCTGCCCGGGGGTGCTAGCCGCGCGGGCTCGAGGACATGAACCCATCAATCATAATATATTGTGTCATTGTTTATAAGGGAGGAGGAAGCAGAAAAAGAACTTGAATGTATGAATTGAGCACAGGGGTCAGAAGAAGAACTTGAATGTATGAATTGAGCACAGGGGTACTCCTTCACAAAAGGGCGGGGAGGCATGCGTCACAGGGTTCGCCACGTAGGGTCGATAAGCCATTGGGCCTCGCGGGTCTGCCTGTCACAAGAGTCCGCTTGTCTGAATCTAAGAGTCCGCCCGTGGCCGCCGCCCCGCTTTTTACTTTTTGAAGGACGTGCTCCCCCCCCCCCCCTCATCAGGGCACCGGGAAGGGGGATGCTGGGCTGCTGGCCCCGAAGATATAAGCCATGTGGCAGG